AACTCCAAACCTTCCCTGGGCACCCGAATAAAAATAACTCACCCAGCCCCTTAATCAATAAAAAAATTATTGATTTGTACTTTAGAGTGATTAGATTGAATTATATGTATGCTAACGTCATATCATATTTAGTTTATACATCATTATTTTGGTGAAATTTAAATGTAGACATTTTAAACGGTGTGTCATTTGACACGACGTACTATAACGTTGTTGTTTTTTAAAACTTGAAGTTTATAATCTTAAGCAAATTTACCACCACCTTACCACCACCTTACCACCACCTTACCACCTTACCACCACCTAAGGTGATCAAAAATTAAGATGACAATGTAAGATATAGAAAAAAGAAAATACATGAGTGGTAAAAATAAAAAAAATTGTCATTAGACGTAATGTAATATGTATAAGTAAACTTTCTTAAAAAATTAAAGAAGTTCAAGTCAAAAAGAAGTTTGATGAAAACTGTAATACTAAAAGCGAACATGGGCAGGTAATCTGCTGCAAGACTAAGATATATATTCGTCTTCCTTCTAGGTTCATTGCCTTTTTTGGTTGAGGTTAAACATCGCCATGTTTTCAAATATCGCGATGTACGTCACTTCTCTCCCCTCTTACTTAGTAATCGCTTCGTCTACCTATTGTTTACAACACGCTTACAAAGAAAAAATATCCCACCCCTCTACTTGAGACATAAAATAAAAAAATGTATTGTGCCTTGTCGTCGCAGGAAACAAAAACGGTGGCGTCTAATGTTGTTAACCCTTGTCTTCCTAAATTATTTTTTAACTTGTTAAAGAAATTGAATGTTTAGTTAATGATTCTGACGCGAATTTTTTCACAAGGGACGATACTCGTGGCTGTAAACAAGGCTGTTCTAATTTTAGAACAGTTGTCTTTCCTCTCGTTTCTCTATTAGGGAAGCCGTAAGGGGAAGACACGCGACACGTCTTTTAAAATGTAAACAAGCGTGCACGGGGTGCACTTAAAATAAACCCCGCTGCGACGATTGTTAAATTTATCTGGCTCAGTGTGGTCAAATGGTGGTCAGATCAAAAGAAAATCGGAACGGTCATAAAAAAACGTAATTACTTTTCCAGACTTGTAAAAAACATGTCTACCCCGCATACCTACGTCCCAACGCATCAAGTCGCCCTGTCGCCCATTAAAAAACACGAACCTACCGAGACTTCGTTTCGTCTCAAAACCTGACTTAACGGTGGTTGAAAGAAAATTCCGACCCTTAAATATATTTTTGTTTTCGCTGACCCTCGCTATAAGCGCATAGTTACAACCATTAATCTTTCATACATAGCAGGGGACGGTTCGCAGGACATGTGGAAACAAAATTTTTTAATTTGATCAAAGAATGACCGGGCGTACGATATGTGAACATAGTTCATGTACAGCTGTAGTCTAATTGAAGTTTATAATCTTAAGCAAATTTACCACCACCACCACCACCACCACCACCACCACCACCACCACCCGCTTGGTAACATCTGTCGCCACACTTAACGGTAGCTTTGCGGATAACTACTTAGCTCTTTCGATTAAACGCGCGGTGCAAATTTAAAAGTTATATTACAACCCTTTTCGGCGTCAGCGAATCGTCAATATATTAACGATCGTATTATATTACGTTTAACACTTCAAATTCCGAAACATCCATGTGACAACTTTGAAACCTGTCTTTGAAACCCAAATGTCACCGACCCTAGTATAAGCTCTACCCCCGAAATCTGCCTCGGTGAAAAGTTCACCGACTCTTGTATAAACTCTACACCTATACAGCTGTTGCATAATGACCTAAGTGCTTCGCGGAAAGCTACTTAATGTACGTTGTTAATTACCATAACCCGTCAACCGAGCAGGGAAAAAAGCCATTAATCATCATGACCTATCAAACCGAGCGGGGAAAAATCACTGATGCATAATAATAAATGTAATTAGGCGGGACATCATGCTGTGATGTCCCGTGGGTTGGATCAATATAATATCCATTAATCACTACGATGCGCGTGTCATGGTAACAGATGTTCCCACACTTAACGCGGGCTTTGCGTTAATTACCATACCCCCCGGTGGGATCGGGTCGGCGAACATACAAATTCTGGTGTTAGTATGAGTCGCGTCTGCTTTGAGCGCCTATTAAGTTTACAGGCTGAAATTTTAAAAGCCTTTGATGAATTGGAAAAACGTTAATAAACAAATAAAATATAAGAAGACTTTTGTTCTAATTTTAGTGTGTGATTGTGTGAATGTATATACGTGTAGCATACGCGTACTAGAAAACCAACAAGGTAATGTCCGGCTGATCGACCTAATTACACCCCCAGCTGTTGCACAGCAGCTGTTGCATAATGACCTAAGTACTTCGCGGAGCTAACAAAGCGTTCGGTAAAATCGATTAACGTGGTAACAGGTGTTCCCACACTTAACGCGGGCTTCGCGGAGAGACACTTAATGTACGTCGTTAATTACCATAACCCGTCAACCGAGCGGGGAAAAAAGCCATTAATCATCTGGGCCAGCGGCTGCGATCGATATAATACCCATTAAAAACCGCCCAGCGCCTGGAAAGTTCACGGGCGGCTCGATACGTAACAGATGTTACATGTCTGGTTAAAGGCTGGTATACAAAGACTGTTCTAGTACATGATAGTGTTAGTCTTTTATTTAAAACATACATACGTTCAAACAAACCAACAAATTAAACAACAAGTAAACAAACAAAGTAAACAATTTAAAATCAAACAAATAATCAAATTACGTAACTCGTTAATAAAAATTAATTAAAATTACAACATTAAATTCAAACTCATTAAAATCCAATTACGTAACTAGGTCAATAAAAAATTACACAATATAAACAAAGTAATTAAAATCACATTACGTAACTAGTCAATAAAAATTAATTAAAAAGTAAACAAATAATCAAATTACGTAACTCTTGAATAAAAAATTAATTAAAAATTTAAAAAACTCATTAAAACTCATTAAAAAATGCATTAAAATTACGTAACTAGGTCAATGATTACGTCACAAGGTCAATAATTACGTCATAATATCGCTGATTACGTCACAATGTCAACGGAGATTACGTCACACCTCCACCTCCGCCAACCCCAGTTGGCGTAGTATTTTACTATATGTCATTGCGCCACCCGCGCATCCTGCTCCACCACCCTGCGGCAGCTGGTGGAGTATTTTACTATATGTCATTGCGCCACCCGCGCATCCTGCTCCCGAGTATTTTACTATATGTCTTTGCGCATCCCCACCAGCTCCTCCGCCAAGAATTCGCTCCAAAAGGGACCTAATATACTACTCTGGGGACATGATCTTGGTGACATGGCTAGGGATACTTGAGAGATGATCTTGGTGACATGGCTAGGGATACTGTGGAGATGATCTTGGTGACCTGGCTAGGGATACTGGAGAGATGATCTTGGTGACACGGCTAGGGATACTGGAGAGATGATCTTGGTGACATGGCTAGGGATACTGGAGAGATGATCTTGGTGACCTGGCTAGGGATACTGTAGAGATGATCTTGGTGACCTGGCTAGGGATACTGGAGAGATGATCTTGGTGACCTGGTTAGGGATACTGGAGAGATGATCTTGGTGACCTGGTTAGGGATACTGGAGAGATGATCTTGATGATCAGGCTAGGGATACTGGAGAGATGATCTTGGTGAAAGATCAGGTTAGTTATACTGGGGAGATGATCTTGGTGACATGGCTAGGGATACTGGAGAGATGATCTTGGTGTTCAGATCAACTGGTTAAAATACTGGCTAGTGATCCTAAAGTTCTAACAATATGTGTTGTAGAAACTTGTTGGTGATGGTACCGTGTGATCGGCACTCGCCCAATGCTGGTCAGTGCAAGAGAACAAACACACCATCACACAATGTCACCAGGATAATTCTGATTACAACACCGCTATGTGTCAGGAAGAGTTTTCACGCTTGTCAAAATCCCCAGTCTACCAGCTTGTCTGAACCCCAGTCTACCAGCTTGTCTGAACCCCAGTCTACCAGCTTGTCTACCCCCCCCCCAGTCTACCAGCTTGTCTGAACCCCAGTCTACCAGCTTGTCTGAACCCACCCCCCCCCCAGTCTACCAGCTTGAAATAAAGGCAATAGAACGCGAAGCACCTACTATAAACATTGATAGCTTGAAGTAATGGTTTGGTCTGTTAGCGGGATACCCACCACTTCACTAGTGGCGAGGGTATCATAAAATTAATGACCTGATTGGGTCAATAATGAGCTTCAAAGAAAAGTCAACAGTATGGGCTAGGTTTTTATTTCAGCAGAATTTCTTGTTTTATGAGATATTTGTAAGATCATATTGTAAAAACAAATCCTGCAAGCTAATGATTTAAGTTACGTCCTTTCCACTTTTTATTCTTGTGGACACCCTTGCAATGCACAAACTAGAAGTGTGAATGTCTACCGTACTAAATTGCCAGTTCCAAGGTTGTAACAATTGGCATTGTATTAAACTCTTTTTTTCTCCAGATCTGCTGTATTAACTGCTAGCAGACGTTAATCCATGCGTTGGCAGACGTTAATCCCTGTGTTAGCAGACGTTAATCCCTGTGTTAGCAGACGTTAATCCATGTGTTAGTGTGTTGGCAGACGTTAATCCCTGTATTAGCAGACGTTAATCCGTGTGTTAGCAGACGCTAATCCGTGTGTTAGCAGACGATAATCCATCTGTTAGCAGACGTTAATCCCTGTGTTAGCAGACATAATCTCTGTGTCAGCAGACGTTAATCCCTGTATTAGCAGACGTTAATCCGTGTGTTAGCAGACGCTAATCCGTGTGTTAGCAGACGATAATCCATCTGTTAGCAGACGTTAATCCACGTGTTAGTGTTTTGGCAGACGTTAATCCATGTTTTATCAGACGTTAATCCCTGTGTTAGCAGACGTTAATCCCTGTGTTAGCAGACGTTAATCCGTGTGTTCAACTTTCCTTCCCCAGATCTACATCAGCTGGGTCAACTCCGTGCTGGCGGAGACCGGGGGGCGTGTCGATGGGGTGGAGGCCGTACAGGAGGGGCGTGTCTTGTGTGAGCTGATTGACATCCTCGCTCCCACCGCCTGCCTGGTCAGCAAGGTCAAGGTCAGTTAGCCTCATGATGTGGCGCTATAGTTACTTAGGAAGTTACGAAAAATATTTTACAAGAGGGAACTATTTTGTCTGATGGGACCTCAGCCCTATTGCCCCATTGGCTTTTCTAGCCCCTCACCAGAAAGCCATAACCAGAAAGCCCTATCACCTTCCTGGATAAACGCTCTAGCCAGTGACTAGAGAAACCTTAGCCCTATCACCTCTAGCCAGTGACTAGAGAAACCTTAGCCCTATCACCTCTAGCCAGTGACTAGAGAAACCTTAGCCCTATCACCTCTAGCCAGTGACTAGAGAAACCTTAGCCCTATCACCTCTAGCCAGTGACTAGAGAAACCTTAGCCCTATCACCTCTAGCTGTAACCAATACAAGGCCCAATCTGTAACGTGTAGGGGAGAGAAGCGAGTTTGATAATTCAGTAATTACTGATTTAAAAATCCAATGGTTTGAGATAAGAGCTACTGTTAGGTTTATGGCTCGCACAATGCATTGATTTGATTTCTTGGTTAAGTTTTCAAGTTGAAAATATAGGGCAAAGTCATGAGCTTTTTCCTGTAGTCCCCACCCTCTCCCCCGACCCTCCACTCTCGTATAATATGTTCCATTCGGAACATTTATAATGTAAGCGAACCATAAGGTTACAACAATGACTCATTTATTTAATACAACTTAAACAGTTATGTTAACAAAGAAAAAGTAACTCTACATAAAAGCAGGTACCTTCGTTCTTTAATAAATAACAGCATATTAAATCACATTTTTGCTCCAACAAAATGAAAGGAATAATGACTGTTCTAATTGCCCAGGTATCAAAATTTTCACAAACAAAAAAATAGATTTACTTTGTGATAAAAATGCTAAGCCACATTAATTTCCACCAAATTAAAATAAAACACTATACTCCTTAAAATAACACTGAACATTTGGCATTATAATCTTCATTTGTGTTGGTTGTGGCATAAAATATTGAAATGTTGTTTATAGTTCGACATTATTTTAATATTAAAAAAAATCCAGTTGAAACATAAAATATGTATATGTTGTTTATAGTTCGACATTATTTTATTTAAAAAGAATTCCAGTTGCAACTAAATCTTCCTGAATGTGTTTATCTCCAGTGCTCAGGGGATTGCACTCCTCTTGCTTACATTAATGCAGCCTTGGAGCACATGCAGAAACATGGAGTTAGGATCAAGTTTCCCGCTCAAGGTTTATAATTTTACCAATATGTGTATTTGATAAAGTTTAGCCAGGTTTTATAGCATTAGAGCACACCAACCACTGTATTAAAATTTGTACCATTAAATGTTGATTGACACCATTGATTGAGTGATTAACGGCACATACAATTTTTTCTCACACCATATCTCATTGGGTTAGTTTGCCATTCTAGTGGTCCCCCCTCCCCCCACCTACTCTTGCAGCCTGTAGAATAGAATGAGACAGTTGATCATCAAGATCCTGAGTTCTGTTTTTCTCTATTGAACCAATTATTAGACATAAATTAATGCTGCTGCATTCATTGGTTTACAACACTTGAAGTTATTTACAGACTTTCCACATTCTTACTTCTGTTATTTTAGATCAGATTTGAAAATTATATTTTGTTTGTTTAACAATATAGGTGGGCCTACTGTAATGATTTTAAACAACTATTTGTCCGACTATTTGTTCCAGATATAATAAACAACGAGATCAAATCTATGCTGGATGTTTTATGGATTCTCATACTGAACTATGGGATCCATAATATAGGTAAGTTTTATCACTAAAAATCTGTAAAAAAAACGTTCTCAAATTAAATGTTATTTTCTTGTTTTATACTGCTGGTGTTACCGTCATAAACGTTTGACCTTTGACATTCTATTCGAAAGGTCAAAACGCTTTCCAGCGTAGTGTGGGGACGGGGAAGAAACATTTGTTGGAGTGGTGTAGGGAACAGCTTGGTGCGTCATTTGATCCAGGGAGATCACTCACTGAAAAGTAAGGACAAGTAGTCAGGAAACAGTTATTTACCCTGATGTTTACATTTTTGTTACTAATTTATATGGTGTTTGGTCTTGGTTTCAGAAGGGCAATAAAAAAAAATACCACATTGTAATGAACATAATATTGTAATAAAGATATTAGTTTAGACCTAGCGATTCATTGGGCAGATGAAGTAGAGTTCACTGTATCTTCACCGTGCCATATGAGGGGATAGTTTGTTCAGCACTATGACCGGCCACTTTTACTTTCCCTAACATGAGTTAGGTACCCATCAGAGCTGGGTGGACTCAGAGACGTTCCACTGACTTCAACCCGGATTCAAACACGAGACTTTCGGTTTAGCAGTCTAGTGCTCTATCACTAAGCCACGCCGTCCCATAATATTGTAATACAGGCTCATATTCTCACACAAGTATAGTTTTTAGCTTGTAAAATAAATAAAAAATTATTCTAACGGTTTGTTTATCCCCCCCCCCCCCCCCCAGCTTATGTAAAGACGACCGGTTCATCCAACTTTTAGAACGTGTGGCAGGTAACAACAGACACAGGAGAGATGTATGTACACACGGCTTCATTCATCTACACTCATTCTAAAAAAATATTCTTATTATTAAAAATTATTATTTATTATTATTAAAAAAAAAAAAAATTCTTCAAATATCTGTACTACAGCGATTAAACACAAATTATTTCTTACAGGACAAAACTGAATACATCGACAGTTTGTTGAGTGAAATTCAAGATCGGTACAAGATTGTTAAAGACATTATCAAGTAAGTCTAAACTTAACTTTTTGTTTATATAGGCCTAAATATTTTTAAAAATTCAGGCTAATATTAATTTCGTGGATATATCATTATAACAATTTACTAAAATGAATTTTTGGAAATGTAAAATAATTGCTGAAATTCAGTTAAAAATAGGCCTAACTTTTTAAAAATAAAAAATGTGACGTTACACTTTTTTATCTGAGTGATCTAAAGCAGTTTGACGTCGTTAAAGAATCCACCCTTAGCTGCTAATGAAAAATTCTATTTATGGAAACAGGGGACTGTTTTATTTGTTAATTAATTGCTAGCGAGCTAAAAACACGATGCTAAAACTGTCATTGTTAGCCAACTCCTTGTTTCCCCAGGGCCTGTGATATTGTTGATGGAATTGTTGATGAGCACACGCTGATGATTTATTTATCTTTGTTGAAGAGAAGGGTAAGTTAAAAACTTGAACTAAAGAGAAGGGTAAGTTAAAAAGTTGAACTAAAGAGAAGGGTAAGTTAAAAACTTGAACTAAAGAGAAGGGTAAGTTAAAAAGTTGAACTAAAGAGAAGGGTAAGTTAAAAACTTGAACTAAAGAGAAGGGTAAGTGAAAAAGTTGATTAGAATAATTGAAAGTTGACTACGCGCAGTCTAAAAAAACCAACATTAACACGAACCATAGATTTATTTTTAAAATTCTGTAATATCGGTTTATCAAAAGTAAAAGATGTTTGAAATACTTTTTTACTCATTTATTTACTACTCCACATTCTGTGTGGTGTTATCTAGGTAAGGTGTAAAAATTGTAAAAAACATAGCTATAAATATGTAGTGTAAATTAAAAGATTTTTACCCCCAGTATTCCAACAAGGATCTGGTTTCAAGCACCGTCAGCTACAGAACTGCTGCTGATGCCAGAGTGAGTTTTACATTTTTAATTCGTTTACACAAATCTTTACTGTATTCACATTTCAACCTTTATAAGCATTAGTACATACTGAAATTAGTTTACACAATATATTATTACCATATTCACTTATCATCTTGTAGAATTATTTGAACATAGAACTAATAATATAATTTTATTTCATAAAACATTTTCCAGTCCAAGTTTGCTGAAAAACACGACCGTCCAGTGACCAGTGAGAGCCGGGGATCCAGGTCTGACGAGGGAGGGTCTGGCCCCACCCCCCACAGGGGCAGGAACCTGTACTCTCACGTCGCTGCAGACGATAACGAAACATCCGAGTGGTCGTCGACTGGGTCGTTGAACTCTTACCGTCCAACTTCTCACCAGAGCTCATCATTACAGGTGGACTCTATGGAGGACGATACGCTGTATGAGACGATACGAGAGAGGGTCATAGAACATATACCGCCCTCAGAGACAGATAGGAGACGCCCCTCTAGTGAGAAGGAGACAGACACACGTTCAGAACGTGCGCATGGCCCCGTAAATAGAGAAGGGATGAGTTCAAAACCCAGGTTGTCGCCTACACAGCTACACAGCTCAGATCGAGGCAGCAGATCTTCAACCCCCGACCCCCACAGATCATCAACCCCCGACCCCCTCAGCCACGAGGAACCCTCAGCGAGCTGGACCAGTAAGACGAGGACGGGCCCTCCACACGGACGCCATGGCAGTCGCGACCATGCTGATGGTCGCGGTAAAAAAGACGACGCCACCACCATAAGGATCAGACGCCCTAAAGATCACATCCTCCAGTGGGAGGAGACCATGGACCGTCTGTCCAGTGTCTCCGTCCTTGACCCAGCTGGCTCGCCCCTGACGCCCCTGATCAGCGGCTACACATCATCTTTCCCAACTAGGTCACGCTCTGTTGACGAAGGTAAACTGAGACACAGGTACTCCAGTCCCACAACCCAAGGTCTAGGTCCATCGTCTCGAAGTAAGTCTGCCAGTGAGTTGCCTAAAATTAGAATGCACGTGACGTCACCTGGGCGCATCACGCTCAGAGAGCTGGAGTCTGCGCTGCAGAAGTTGCCTGCTGACCTTCGAGACGATGCCAAGGTCGCGTCTGATTTCTTTCTCCAGCACCCGGGAGCCGGGGTCAGTGCACTTATTGACGTCATCAAAAACATAAAGGTAGACCCACGGCTAGCTCCGCAAGTGGACAGGTCCTACAGTCCATCTAGCTACGACCTGGATGAAACAAGCGTTAAAAGACCGTCATCTGCCGAGCCCCGTCAGGTCGGCAGACATCGGAGCACCTCAGAGAATCGGCAGTCTCCGTCTGTCTCAGCCCGAACTCAATCCCTGTCTCCCCAGAGAAGGAGCGTCTTGTCATCAGGACTTGCTGCAGATGGCGAGCGAGGGTCGGACACGATGCTGTCAGTCGCTCCACGGTCGATTTCCCCAGACCAGTGGACGGAAAGAAAGGAAATAGACTTCAGAGGAGTCAGGGATGTAACGTTGTCAAATATAGATTACACGGATAGGCCAGTCCATGATACAGAATGGAGACATCACAGGGAGCTGTCACCCCCAAGAGGTGGTGGGGTGGGTAGAGTACCGCGGCGTGAGGCATGGGAGGTGCAGAGAAAGGTGAGAGAGAATTCCGTCGATTCCAGCCTGCAGCCCGGCTACAACCAGCTGCAGCCCGGCTACATCCAGCTCCTGGGCCAGGAGATTCAGGACCTGAAGCTCAAGCTGGAGCTGATGGAGAAAGATGAGGCCAGTAGGAGCAGCTGGAGCAGGTCTGGGAGATCTCACAGAGATAGCGTCACTGGTGGTGGCCACAGTCTCAGTCTATATCCTCCACAACTAAGCCGAGAACGTGCCTCATCCTGTCCCCTGTTGAAAGTGAGCGGCACATCGCCCTTGCTGAGGTCACCAAGAGTGAGTACACCTAGCACAGATCACGTGCACCAGCCACGTCCTCACCTGGACAGTCTGAGCAGACGGGACGACGGTGTGGACTACAGCAGCAGGTACGTTCTCCCACCTGACATCTGGGCTACCAGCCTGGACACGGCCAGCCACCTGACGTCAGAGTACCAGACCAGGTGGCAGCAGCTGATTGGTCAGCGCCACCTGACGGACAGCCAGGTGATCGAGCTGAAGCAAGCGCTGGCCAGCGTCGTGGCTGAGAACGACATTCTTCTGGCCAAGTTGTCCAACGCCAGACAGGAGGTCCACGACAAGCTGACCCACACCAACGGCGTGCTGGAGGACTGTAGACAGCACCTGGCCAAGGCCCAGGTGGACAACATGGAGTACCGCTCTCAGCTGGAGCAGGAGAGAGCCGTCAGCTCCCGGCTGGAGGCTCGAGTACAGGAGCTGGAGAAGGCATTGGCAGAGGTAGGGCGCAGTGGTACAGTGGTACAGTGGTACAGTGGTACAGTGGTACAGTTTATACAACGTTTCACTGTTTCATATTTTAAACTTGCATCTTGGATTATTTCAAACTAAATTATTAAGATTCGTATGAAAAAGTTAATGTTGAGAAGTTAAACGCAAAAACCCTGTAGTCAGTTTGGAGTAGCGATTTAAACTTCTATCCTCCAGCTCTAATGAGAGATGTTTGTTTTGTATTTAGATAAAATGTTACAAACAACAGCTGGAAAAAGAACTTGACGACACTGTGAGTCAGATGGACCAATCAATGGCCGAGACTGGACCGGATATGGACTCGCTACTTGACGAAAACTCACATCTCATCTCCAGGCTAGCCCATGTGGAAAACGAAAATGATTTTCTTAAAGAAGTAAGTTATGCACAAAATGTTTTTTTTTTACTTGACTTAAAGAAGTAAGTTATGCACAACATGTCTTTTTTTACTTGACTTAAGGAAGTAAGTTATGCACACCATACCTTGTTTTTACTTGACTTAAAGAAGAAAGTTATGCACACCATACCTTGTTTTTACTTGACTTAAAGAAGAAAGTTATGCACACCATACCTTGTTTTTACTTGACTTAAAGAAGAAAGTTATGCACACCATACCTTGTTTTTACTTGACTTAAAGAAGTAAGTTATGTACACCATACCTTTTTTTACCTGACTTAAGGAAGTAAGTTATGTACACCATACCTTTTTTTACCTGACTTAAGGAAGTAAGTTATGTACACCATGTATTTTTGACTTGAAACATGACAGCGGGTTCCCTTACTTACACGGTTTAATTAAAGTAAAAATAATTTTATCATTAGCGGGACTCACCAGTAGAGCTAGGTCTGACATAGAAAAGGTGAAGTAGAGTTGGTTTGTAGTCAGTATTGGGGATGTTTAGACGTTCCAGTGTCAATGTCACTTGAACTTATCTTGTCAAAGTGTTGGTGATATCCAACGTGATAAAGCCACCGTACACAGGATTATTGAAGGAATTTTATTCACTTAGCTACACACACCGCCGTCATTACAACTCAATTTGTGGCTAGCTTGTTGTGTAGCTTACAGCAAATATATTGTAGCTACATGGTTAACTTAACAATTATTCCTCCAGGACTTCCAAAAGCTGAAACAAAGCCACACCAAGGCGATGAATACAATCGAAGACCTCCGGGATTGTCTGGAGAAGATCAGAAAGGAACGACAGGATCTGTTTGACGAGGTTACGTCCCTTCAGAGGCGCGAGCAGACGGCTAGAGTTCGCGAGATCATCAGCAGCTACCAGGAGAAGGGCGCACTGGACGAGAGCGAGAGGGAGAGACAGAGGCAAGAGCAAACCGACTCAGACGAGGGCATCTTCTCTGAGTCCCAGGCCAGTTCAACCGCCTCTCTTAGTGCCAGACATTCGGCAAGGTCAGCCAGAAGGTCATCAAACCAGTCTCCCCACGAGAGATCGAGCTCCCCCACAGCCAGAAAAAGGTCATCTAGTCAGCAGCGATACAACACCCATGATGACCTTTCACCTACCAGGTCACGTGAGATCTACCCCCACAGAAGGAGCTACTCCCCCCAGAACAGAAGTGTCAGCCCTGCCCAGGTCCAGAGGAGCAGCCGGCCCTACGTGGACGAGTACTTCATCAACAAGACCCTGGAGGAAATAGAGGACGACATACAACAAGAAAAGCAAAAACTGTTTGAGAACTTGGCGGTGCAGCCCAAAAAGATCAGATTTTCCTCTGAACATTCTAGGAACGAGCACAGCACCGCTGACCAATATTTTAGAGCCATTTCAGAGCACAAGAGACGCCAGTCTCCGGACAGGCTGAACCAGCAGCTCAAGAAGTCCCAACCATCCACACAGGCCAGGCGCTCTGACCATTCTAAAGATGACCATCACCGCAGGCGTCACCAGAGTCCCAGCCCGGGTCAAAGGTCACCCAGGCCAAGTATTCTCAAAAGCAGCGACACGTTTAACCAGAGTAGCACAGTACCTTCGAGAAGCCCAAGTCCCGCTTTGAGGAAAAATAGAAGTATAAATACTGATAGAGAGAGGTCAGTACTTTCTGAAATAATCAGCAATCTTTTCCATACTATCCTGTTATACTTAACACAATAAAACAGTAGGTCTACATCTTTTTTAGAAAACTGAGAGAGAATTTAATAAAAAAAAACCATAGGTGAAACATAGAGCAAGATTTTTTTAAAAACTAATTAATGTGTATAAGTGTACTTCAGCAAATGAAGCAGCTTAATTAAATGCGATATTTACACACAACTAAAAATATTACTTTTGAGATTCGCTGGCCAGTTGAAGGCAATGTAATAAGGGCTGTCGTATTTTGTAAGTGTGACCAATTACTACGTTACTACCGTTATCTGCACTGACACTACTTCATTTGATCCGATCAGCTCAATACTGTTAACTACGTTCTAATCGATATACCTATCATAATGTGTTTTAGAATTTGTTTGACTATTAAAGTATTATCATACAACATACCCCGACTTAGTCGTGAGAGCCTAAACTTTTAAAATATGTTTTTACCCCAGCCACACGTCACCAGCCAGTTGCCCGTCAGATTCAGTCAACTCCAGATCTCGCCGTACGAAAGATGGAGCAGGAGATTTCGCACGATGTTTACAAGGTGAATCTGAGGACAAGCTACTCCAAACTTTGTCCAACTCTCCAATTTTAAAAAACAAATCGTGGTATGAAATACAAAGGTAAAGTATTTTGTGGGGACGTTTTTTTAAAAACATTTAAGTTTTATAACTGTTGTGACTTGGCTTGTCAATATTAATTATTAGAATTTGCTGATTTTAATTAATCAATTATAAAAAAAATAATTATAACTGATATGTTTGCGTGTGTGTCGCTTTCAGAATAATTTCATCATTTCATAAGCGGTTAAGGTATAACTAATTTCTAAAAGTTGTTTTTTTCACCATTTGTGCATGAAATCCTCGGTTTGAAATTGTTATCTAGAAAAAAATATTTATATTGAAATCCCTAATCCTGCTTGGGTAGATGTTTGAACGCTTCTGCCTGTATTCAGATGAATTGCATGATAATTTATCCCACTTTTTTCTACACAGCTTGGTTGAAATTAGTTTCACTTTTTACACAAATATTTGGTTGAAGTTGGTTGATATTGTTTTCAAGCATGTAGTAATTTCATACATATTAATTTATATTCTGATGTCCACTAATATATAAAGCTAAATTTTGTTATATGTTCATTTGTTAAGCAAAAATAAAATAAATATTTTTTATATCGAAAACATTACAATAAATGGTAAAATTAAAATCTATGACAATGAAAACCTTAAATAAACGAAAGACAATGTTGACTCAATACGTCTATTTATTTCCCCTTCACTCTGCACGTAAATTAGTGACTCAGATGACTGTGACACTGAACATTATTCCAGCCTGGACAGTCAGTCCTGTTGTGACAATGTCCGGTTCTGGTAACTTTTATTTAAATATTTTACTCTTTTATTAACACTACTAACATTTTTCTTTCAATTATCGTGAAAAACGTTTATTCTATATTTAACAATACTCTGTTATTTTTATTTTTAAAAATACTTAAAATAAACTAACAAAAACTATGTAATATTTTCATATTTTAAAAAAATAAATAATAACGTTGATAGCATATAGAAAATAATTTAAATAATTGATAGTTTTTTAAATGATAAACTTTTATTTAAAAATAAACACTAACAATCTGTTCTTTGTTTAAAATAAAGAAATCGTTTATTGATAAAAATTCTTAAAGCATTTAAGTTTTATAATTATTTTTTATGTTAAGAAATAAAACAAGCTTAGAATAACACATACTTTTTTGTTTCCACTTATGTATGTCATGTTTTTATTTTTTCTTTGTTGCAGTAAGTACATTAATTTTCTTTCGTTACCATGACATAAGGCACTTAGTTATTCTTAATATTTTAGTTTGGGTTTTAAACAGTGTTTCTTCCAGACTTTTTTCTCCGGGGGGGCACTTGAAATCTTCGGGGGGGGGGGCGGTAAACTTTCTTCGGGGGGCGGACACTGTTAAAAGTATATATTTTCTATATAAATTATATAAATTTCATTTCGTTCGGGGGGGGGGGGGGCGGTAAAAAATTTTCGGGGGGGGGGGGGGGGGGACGAGGCCCCCCGAAGAGATGCCTGGAAGAAACTCTGGTTTTAAACTAAAATCATAAATATTATAAATTATGTTTATTTATGCATTTCTATAATTTATTTATTTATTTATTTATAATATTTCAATATAAGAAATACGGCATATTTATGATATATAATAAATGTACTTAACAAATTACTTTTATGACTTAATAAATAACATACTAGTAGTGTAACGTATTGTACTTATGTCTTAGAATGTTTTTGGGAAGATAAAAATAAAAAGTAGAACGTGTTTTTCTCCAGGAACAAAGCTCCTCTACTAACAGATGAACAGAGAAGATATGCTGACCAACTGGTACAGAAATACACAGGGGCTCTGCCTTCATGATTGTTTAAACTAGGTCTCATATTTTAGTGGTGTTTAATCGTAAAAGTAATTTTAACTTTACGCCTCTCGGGGCATAATGTTATTTAATCATTAAGAATGTTTAATTGATAATTTATTAATTTTTTTTTCTTTCATTATCTATTACAATGGAAAAAACTTTAAGAACTTATACTGTTACTTCAAATAATATTTCAAAAGTATGTGATTTTTAAAATATTTATTTTGTAGCTTTTGCTAGAAGATCTGAAAAAAAAAACATTTTATCAGTTTATTGCTTTTTATTTTTTGTATATAGAAAACTATATTCAGCAGTAAAATTATTCCCTAGTAATCTTTTTAGAATTTAGCAGCATCCTACAAACTGAATAAATAATTAAATAAAACCTGAAAATAAAACTTTTGCCTATTGCAATATAGCTTTCTGTAATAAATCTGTGATATATTTTTACATTTAAAAGATTTTTTAAAAATTTTCATTATATATTATTAAAAGTATGATTTAATGATTTTTGTATTTTGAATCATAAAATATTTTTTAAAAGTGGTTTTTTTTTTTTAGAGTTTTCCAGGACCTTAACTTAATGTTTTTAATTTGATAAATCTTATATTTTTAATTATGTTCAGCTGCAGAATTCATTCGTATGCAAATACAATAACACAAAAAAATATTTGTCTTGTTATTCGTAGATAAAATATTTTGTTATATTATGTTTTTATGATATTCTGTTTTTCTAGGTACATATTCTTTTTCAAAATAAGACAGTTACATTATAATTGAAGAGCTGGTTTAATATATTTAGAGTAATTACAATTACTTCATTTTTCTGTACTCTAAAACATCTATTTAGTTAAATTTGTATTTGTTGTAATATTACTTTAAAACATTTCTCATAATATATCCAACAATATAGTTGTGGCAGAATATCAAAGTTGTCTCTGACAAATTACCAAATTAAAATATTGTTTTGCTCATGCATTAAATGTTTGTAATTTAATAAACGTTTTAAAAAAGTTAAAATTAATTTAGTTTTTCCTGGAGGTGAAACATACTGTTTTGTTAAATACTGTAATGTTGTTTACATTCGTTTATATAGAAATTCGACTGCAATTAGATTCGTATCTCTGATGAATACAATCCGTGTTTTTAATTGCTGTCTCAACACGCATTGCTGATCAACTTAGTGTTAACAAATTTATCTTTCCTTGATTGATGTATAACTCTGTTTTATTAACTACAGGGTTTTTACAACTTTTCGTATATTTATTTTTATTTCTACCAATACCAATTATTATTATTATTGTTGTTTGTTTATACATTTTTAATATTGGTTTTATTACTGTTTTGGTATTTTTATTTTTTACTCATTTATGTTTATTGTTTTTGTTGTTTTAACAATTTTTTTTTATTTTAAAAATTATTGTTTCTATTATTTGTTTCTCTATTGTAGTCTGTTTGTAATCTTCTTAAATCCACAAAAACTAAGATTTTTATCTGCTTGTGTAAAAGCTGTCTAATTAAAGCAGGATCGTCTGGGGGGGGGGGGGGGGTTCACATTTTATCCAGCTATATATAGCCCGGGGACAAACTTTCGATTAGCACCACCCCTGAAACTTTCGATTTGCACCCCCCCCCTCAAACTTTCGATTTGCACCCCCCTAACCCCTCTGCCTACGCTAATGAATTAAAGTTTTTAGTATTTTGTATTTTAATGTTTTGCAAGTACGTTAAACTAAAACTAGAGCCTCAGTGTTTCTTCCAGACTTTTTTCTCCGGGGGAGGGGGGGGGGGGGCACTTGAAATTTTCGGGGGGGGGGGGGGGGGCGGTAGACTTTCTTCGGGGGGGGGGGGCGGACACTGTTAAAAGTATATATTTTCTATAGAAATTAAATAAAATTCATTTCGTTCAGGGGGGGGGGGGGGGCGGTAAAAAATTTTCGGGGGAGGGGGGGGGGGGGCAAAGCCACCCCCGAAGAGATGCCTGGAAGAAACTCTGTAGAGCCAAATGACCGTCTCCAGATTTTAGTGTTAATTTGATGATGTCACTAACACAGATCTTTATTGTTTTATTTTTAACACCAAATAGGTTTATGTAGTAGGACATTTATAGAAATATTGAACACAATACAAAGTTAATGCAATTTTAGTTATTAAATAAAAAATGTAAAACATTTGATTTAGGTATTTTGAGATTGATTTTAATTTGACGTATATAAGATTCTATTTTTGTTGCTTTTTTATTTTTATGCAAAACTTTCTCCGTGTTTGTTTTCATGTAAGATCTACAAAGTATCACTTTATGGAAAACGTATTGTATTCGTGTAAATTCATACTAGTTTCTATCAAATTTTGAGCTATTTTCGGTGACCGAAAGTAATACTTTTCATTTTCTAAAAAATTATAAGACAGTTTCTTCACGGTTATACGCTTGATCGTGAGGCTACACGTCTTAAACGCTTTCTGATCGCGATAAAACTTGTCACCTGTCTGTTGTGTCAACTATCTGTTGTGTCACCTATCTGTCGTGTCAACTATCTGTTGTGTCACCTATCTGTTGCGTGACCTATCTGTCGTGTCACCTTTCTGTTGTGTCACCGGCTAGAGTTGAGCAAATACCCACAGTTACAAACTATGGCTAGAGTTGAGCTAATACCCACAGTTACAAACTATGGCTAAAGTTGAGCTAATACCCACAGTTACAAACTATGGCTAAAGTTGAGCTAATACCCACAGTTACAAACTATGGATAGAGTTGAGCTAATACTCACAGTTACAAACTATGGCTAGAGTTGAGCTAATACCCACAGTTACAAACTATGGCTAGAGTTGAGCGAATAACCACAGTTACAAACTATGGCTAGAGTTGAGCTAATGCCCACAGTTGCTAACTATGAATAGAGTTGAGCTAATACCCACAGTTACAAATACCGGATAAGCTCACAGCGACAAAATCCTGTCTTGGTTACCCCAAAAATGGTCCCAGAAATTGGGTGTGTTGTAATACATAAATTTGTGCGTTTAATTTTGCAAATATTTTCTGAGTTATTGTTTGCGTCTAGATTTGCGTTCGTGTCTCCACTTGTGTTTCCTTTTGTGTTTCTATTTGTGTTTGTGTTTGCGTATTTGTTTGCGTTGCGGTTGTATATGAGTTTTTGTTTTCTTTGTGTTTGTATTTGCGTTTGCTTTTGTGTTTGGGTTTGTGCTTGTGTTTGTGTTTGTTTTTGCGTTTGTTTTAGAGTGTGTCTTTTTAGCATATTTGAAATGATCATAAAAACTTACGACATAATTGTGTAGAAGATAGAGTAGCGATCTTAACTATGAGCTGTTATAAAAATATTGAGTTACTTAATTACAGTTAATTGTTACATAGAATTATTACACATCTATACACAAACTAAACAATTACAATCTTAAATTAAAAGTTACAGGCAAGTCAATTTATCAAATTTTAATTTTATTTTGACAAAACTAAACATTATTTCTCTAGAAAAAATGTGTAAATTATTTGCTTACAACAAATGGTCCTAAGTAATATAAACACCAGATGTTTAATTAATAATACTGAATAAAGTAATATGCCACTAAATCCAATATACAGAGTGAAGTAAAATGCCACTAACAGCAATATACAGAGTAAAGTAATATGTCACTAACAGCAATATACAGAGTAAAGTAATATGTCACTAACAGCAATATATAGAGTAAAGTAATATGTCACTAACAGCAATATACAGAGTAAAATAATATGTCACTAACTGCAATACACAGAGTAAGGTAATATGCCACTAAATCCAATATACAGAGTAAAGAAATATGTCACTAACAACGGCCTAAATATTCCGAAAACATATGCGTGCCGGGAAACACGTGACCTAAGATGTCGACTAAATACAGAGTCGTCCATAAAAATCTTCACGCTATTTAGGTTATTTCTACCTCCAACTTCTCCATTATCCATCCATGTGACGTCACATTTCCTTAATCTTTAATGGACCAGCTCCCTCCCACATAACGTTTATAGATACATATGAAGCCATTAAAATAATATAAGAAGCACAAGGAATCGAGTTATAGAAAACATAGAAACTTTGTATAACTTACGGCAAATGTTGAAAAAATTAAGATTGGTTTATTGGGTAAGGACGAAAATAAGCTAAGTAATAGAGCTTAAAATCACAAGATGCATTGCCGCTGATTGCAGGAATGTGGAAGTACATAATATTTGACTTGATAATATTCCATCAGGGCTGATACTGAAGTATATTGTTTTTTTTTTAAACGCTTTGGAGCGTATATATAAAACCAAGCATCTGATAGCTCTGAAGTTGACCACAGGTCAGCAGCAATGAGAAGAGTCGTGAGAGTTGATAGTGCAACTACTCACTATCAGCAGTGAGTGCCACAAGAAACACAAATGTATTGGGAGCTGAAGCAGCTTAACACATACACCAGAGCAGGATGGGAACACTCACATGATCTCGTGACGGGCTAATCAATTGTTAACGCGGGTAGTTTTGGTTACAAGGTGTAAAATAACATTTTCTTAGCCAAACCTTCAAAATGAAGAGATTAATAGCGGACTCTTTACTAGATTGTATTTATATACATTTATATATTAGTTCCAAAGTTATTTAAAGCCTACTTGAATTGAACACTTCACTCATTATATTATTTATCATTACAATTTAGTATTTAGGTGTTGATGATTTAGAGTTTGGGGATTTCATTCTAGAGAATTAAAGTTGTGGATTAGTACTTGAGGTTGGCAGGATTAAATGCCTGTTATTTAGTTAATACAAGAGGCAAAGCGCCTAGGAGATTAAGTTATAAAGGTTTAAAATATGGGAGATCAAGTTTAGTGGATTAAAATTACGACACCCCGTACAACATGCAAACAACTTAATGTTTCAGATACATGTCCATTAAATGTTGTTGCGCTTAGTTTTAGTTTTTAAAAGACATCGCGGTTTATAAGAACTTGTCATGAAGGTCCCCATTAGAATCTCCATCTTTTGCAAGAACACAATCATGACTTGCTGCTCTGTCATGATTATCCACCTGGCTGCACCCCTGCTCCACATGATTATCCACCTGGCTGCACCCCTGCTCCACATGATTATCCACCTGGCTGTACCCCTGCTCCACATGATTATCCACCTGGCTGTACCCCTGCTCCACATGATTATCCACCTGGCTGTACCCCTGCTCCACATGATTATCCACCTGGCTGTACCCCTGCTCCACATGATTATCCACCTGGCTGTACCTCTGATCCTCATCATTGTATTGTACACTCTGGCTGTACAGGTCATTGTAATCAATCTCGTTGTAGATAGACGAATCAGCTGCAGCAAACCAAGTCGTCGAACCAGACGACATGGCAATGACTGTTTGGTCAAGTGAATCGTTGGCGCTTGAAAGGGTTTCATTGATCTTGGTGAAAACTTTGGGAGTTTTTGGAGTTTTTGTCGCTTGCTGTGGGATTTTATCAACTTTCTTTGTTCCTGTAGGAGATCCGCTTTTTGGCTTTCTGTCGAATATTTTTTTAAACATCTTCACCCTCGATTCAAAACCTTTTTGTTTGGTTGGTCGTTGTGGTAGCTCGACTTGATCCTGACATCTAGCCTTCAGCTCTTCGTGTGGATAAACTACATGGACAGCAGTTAAATAGCTATCTTCTTCGTCTGGGTGACTTCCCTCAAAGACAACACGTGACGATGCTGTGCTAGAGATTTGTGTTGGTTCTGGCTGTGTTTTACCCACAATTGCCGCCTCTGGCTCTGGTCTAGAGATGTCTTGTGGACTACTGGGCTTAACTAAGTCACACGTCAATGATCCACCTGAAGAATCGGAAGGATTGACAACATCTATGTAAACGGGAAGGTTGGTGTAGTTAGATTTCAGTGTGGCACCGTTCCAAGAACCGTCAGATGAATCTGATGGGTTCGAAACCTCAAAGTTTGAAGTGAGGTTAGAATAGCTGGCTTTAGTTGATTGACTCGCCAAGGAGCCGTCGGACGAATCAGAAGGGTTCAAGACTTCAGGGATGTTTGAGTAGCTGGACTTTGCAGCTTGAGTTGTCCACGAGCCACCTGATGAGAACCATGGAATCTCCGTGTATGAACCTGCTGAAAAACCAAAAGAACTGTTTTCGCTGTCAGAAGAGTTGATCACAGTATATTTTAGTTGTGACAATGTTTGATGAAGCGTAGAGTAGGTGCCTCTGATGATATCAGCAACCTCTTTATCTGTTTGGCCGTTGTTTGGGTTAAATGTGGATAATTCGCTGAAAAAAGGAAGTTTCTTATATATATATATATATATATATATATATATATATATATATATATATATATATATATATATATATATATATATATATATATATATATATACAAGAAAAACGTCTGAAGTCAAAATTTCTCATTGCAAAAGATCCCAGAAACAAAGTAATCTCCACTTCCTAAGTAATTGCCCAATTATCGTTTCAGTGACTTACAGAATGAGCCAGCCCAAAAAGTATAAAACTCACCTTATAATTTCTGGCGTTATCGGCCTGTTGTCAGGGTTCACGTCTAAACAACGTCTCATCAGATCTGTTGGACCCCACAGCTTAAGTTTCAGTATGTCTGTGCTATCTTCAGTTTCCTGATTATTAAACGTTGTTATCATATTAAATAAAAACTGTGCTAAAACTTATTCAATATTCTTTTATACAAGTTATTAAGAGAGACTTTATGCAACAGGAAATATAGGGTGCTATTTAAATGTTGACAGGACCATACAGTATCGTTTCAATGATTTCCTGCCAGTTAGTGAAGGTGTTATGGTTAATGTGATAGTTATTGCTTCTTTTAGGGTTTGAGTTATTGGTATAGCTTATGTTAGGGTTAGAGTTACAGTTTTGCAGAAAGTTTATTTAGAACTGAATGGATTGCAGTTAACATAGAAACAATCTTCTATGTTTCTTAACCCTATTCTCTGCTGTGCACTGAATATTTGAAAATGTCTTTCTTCTTCTTCCTTCTCCAATAAAAAGACCTATATATGTTTGCATAATAAATTGCATTGACAAATTTTAGGCCATTTTTAGAAATGTTTTCCTGGTATAGTCTATATCGTCTAGACTAGTACACAGGTCTTCCGAAGAGCCTGGTACGTCGGACTCCCAAGTCCCCTACATAATAGCGTGGGGGAGGAGAGGTGCAAGACTGCCAGGAACCAAAAAGGGTTTGCTCTCGACCCTAACCAGATATTTTGACTTTAAGCTGCGGCCTTCACGTGGCTTCGGAAGAGTGCCACTAGTCGGACCAAGCTCATGACCCCCCTAATGGGTGCGGAATGGCTAGTGGTAGCCAACAGCAGCTAGAGGTTTTTGATCTGGCCGAACGCCCCCCACGATCAAGCTGGGTACCAGGCGGTAGGAAGACGTCCCGCGTCTGGTGGGTGGGGAAGGAAAGCCCGGTGAGAGCCAACGGAAATAGCGACCGATGTGTAGGGAACTCTCGTGGTCGGGGTTTACTACACTGAGGCTAATGGGAGCCCAACTCCTGAGCCGGTTTCCGTATAAGGAAGGAAGGAAGTACACAGGTCTTACCATGATGTCAGCCATTGGTTCGTATTTTGGATCATACAGGTCTACAGGACTGTTGATGTACATGAAAATAATAAAGTCACACATGAATCTGCCCAGTAGAAAGACATCATACGCGGGGGTGTACATGTAGTTGTCGCCCTTTGATTCCGGAGGAGCTCTGAGTTTTTAAAAAAATACAGAAAAATATTAACATAAAAGTTGAATTGATTTTTCAAAACAATTTCGAAAACCCTCTTTTTCTTTTTACAAATGTTTTGTTTTTACTATTGATTGTTTTGTTTTTTTGTTTTGTGTGTTCTAATTAAACATTAGCGGTGAAGATGTAAACTGTATCTGATTCTTTATAACTACATCATACCTAACATTGTTAGAATTACAAATCTTTCGATTTCCAACTTTTTGAAGCTGAGAAAGTGATACTGGGCATACCTAGATCAAAATTAAATTAGAATGGTGTTATGGTAGCATCTGATACAATAATATTACAATAATTTGTCTATCTCAAAACTATTTAAATCTAGCTTAAATGAATGCAACTCAAACACACAGAAGAAAAATATAAATATAAATTTTTCATCGTATAATATTTATATTGGATGCAATTTGATGCGTAGGAATAACAATTTGTGTACTGAGTCAGATTTTTTAACTACGGTAAATTTAATGATACAATTCAAATACGGTTTTTATTCACATAGAATGTATTTCATTCAACGAAAAAAGTACAATGTAAAGTTTTTGAAAAGCTGCGAAAAAGTATTCCTTAAATTTAGAAGTCTTACCGTAACATCCCCGCCGTTGTGCCCTATAAAAATCCTGGAACATCTGACGTCGCCTAAAACAAAACCAAGATTGTGGAGATTTTGGAGCAGCTCGGCCACTTTTATAAACACTTTGATGCAGTTCTCCCGAGTTAAAAGTTTCTTTTTCAAGATACAATTTAGTAGACTCTCCTTGCACGATACAGGCAAACGTAACTCCTGAAATTCACGGTCATATGATGTTTATATATGTTTATATATATATATATATATATATATATATATATATATATATATATATATATATATATATATATATATATATATATATATAATTTTCACGGTCAAAAGTAATACAAATTACTTTAAAAAAACAGCATAAATACAACTGAGCAGCCGGTTTTTTTTAACAGATTCATTAAATCTCTTAATAAGTGTCTACATTTAATATGGTGTTGTATTGTCTAATAATTTATATAATTTCGTTTTTATAATAGGTATTGGTAGTCTATGATATTTCAAATGTGTCGGATTTTTAGCTATTTAGTTATGTCTTTGCTTTGTCACTAATATCATTGAACATGTAGTAAAGCACATTGCGTTTTGACCAATAACTATTTTATAAAATATTTTTCATATACAAGGATAACCTTAAAAGATATAGGCCTATAATTCACTTGTAACGGGTACCGACGGCTAGTATATACATGATTGTGACGCACTATATTGAAGTCGGAAACGGCTTAGATAAGAAATATATATTATACTAGCAGTTAGTAATATAGACCTAGAATGTTTTATATTTGAGTCTTCTCACTTTTATTGTTGTCCAACTGTGAGTGTAATCATGTCATTGATCAAACACAAAACTTACTATTGTCTGGTTGTCTTGACTACTGTCCTCTTTAATCTTATGTAAATCAATTCTAGGAAAAATTATTTCCAGCTTTCCATGTTCCATGGCCTGGCTAATTTCTTCTGGCAAGTTAGATTGAAGTTGTTCAATGGCTACTAGTATCTTGTCCTGACAACAGAAGCCATTACATCTTAGATGGTGTGTATCTATATAAGTATTTATAGAGCTATATTTTGTACACAAATACATACACCTTATTGAACATGTACATGCAAACACATACTCGCATAAATCCGTATACTTAAATTTTAACTTTAATATCTGCGAAAATGTTGGGTACCCAACAAAACTGGGAAGGCTCAATAAGATCTTCGTTTATATATATTTATGTGTTGTATGTGTATACGTTTTCATTTACGTACATGTATAGTAAGTATACGTATGTTACGTATGAATAGACGTAAACATCTGTTTTATATGTATGCATGTGCGTCTTAGTGTTTTTTACTTGCCTTTACATAAACGTGAAGTTTTTCACTGATGGCTTCTTTTAACTCCAATCTGGTACCAACTGACCTGCTACTGTCTGAAATATAAAAGTTCAGGTTAAACAATGTCGTATTCAATTGGAAAATATGGATCACAGAATGTCTTATATATATATATATATATATATAGCAATTATATATATATATACATAAAGCAATGTATGTGTGTGTGTTTGTTTGTTTATTTGTTTGTCTGTCTTTTATGCATTTCTACACCTTTCATCCAATCGCCATAAAACTTTGGGAAGTTGCTGATAATACTCTTGGGGAGGTTTCTGCGAAAAAAAAACAACAATAAAATTCGCAATTGTGGCGCTCGAGCAGGGCGCAGTTTGTTTTTTCTTTATATACGGTATATAAAAAATAAAGGTCGATTGCGGTTTGACACCGTTCATCCGATCGCCATCAAACTTTGGGGAGTTGATTAGAAAATTCCATTGGAGGTTTCTTCAAAAAAAAATATTTTTTTAATTTCGCAAGGGCGACGCCCTGGGAGGGTGCGATTGTTCGCTATATACGGTATATTAAAATGAAAGTCGGATGCGGTTCGATACCGTTTATCCGAGTGCCACAAAACTTTGGGGAAAATTCTACGAAAAGGTTTCTTAGGGGGGGGGGGATTTAATCACGCACGGGCGGCCCCTAGTAGGATGCGATTTGGCGCCCTGGTCTTTCCCGTTAGCGCTATGGTGCTTACGTTCGTTTTAAAAAACATTGATATAGACTATGCATAATATTGGGTTTTAGAGTCGTTCACTAAACATAATTAGACGCATCAATTCGTGCCCCAACAGGTTGCGCCTCGGGTTATCCCGTTAGCGCTATGACGTAAGAGTGTGATACAATATGGATAAGAAGTAGTATTATAGCAGTTCACTAAACTGAATCAGGCGCGTTCGACCGCGTCCCAGCAGGGTGCGATTTGCCCCGGGTTATCTTAGGAATTTTTTTTAACCCCGCGGCAACGCGCGGGGACGGGCACGCTGGTATACATATATAAAGTTTCCTTTTTATTCGCTACGTGTCTCGCTTATAATTGCCATAATTTTGTATCCGTCCTGTCATAATGTTAGGTGTGATGCTACATATCATTTTGTCTTTGTTTAACATTGACATCATACACAACAATTTAATAATTTAAACAACAAAAAAAAAAGATTCTTACAATTATTGCCCCGATCTCCCTGAAACCAAGATATATAACATAAAATTAGGTCATATTTAAATGAGATATAGCGTTTTAAAATTGAATGTTAAATATTGCGTAATGGAATAAAAATGTTGGAAAATATGTTTGAGCTCTAATATAATGTATGAAATAGCATGCACATATTTATAATATGTATATAGCCTACATATAAAACATAATGCAATATCAACGATTTTTATGAAAAATATTATGCCATTAGTTGGATATTTTCTTGAACTCTGATGTAATTTTATGACATTGTATGTTAATAGTTGTTAAAATTTGTAGGAATTTATGTAGAATATATTGTAAAAATAAACATGAATGAGTTGTATTAACTCAAAAATAAGAATCAAAATTGCAGTTTGTTAAATGTTAATTGATTATTTGATTGTTGCTATAACTATTAATTGTAAATAAAATTTCTGGGATACACACACACACATACACACACACACACACACATATATATATATATATATATATATATATATATATATATATATATATATATATATATATATATATATATATATATATATATATAAAATGTAATATCACCTTCAGAAAAACATCGTTTAACAGTTCAAGGTCAGACCAGAGGCATGTTTTCTCACATAAAGATTGTCAGCTTTTGTTAAGCGTAGAAAATTTTCAAAAAGTTATTTCAGGCACTTAGTGTCTGTACATCTGGATATTATTTTGCCTTGACCTCGGTAATTGACTTGGCAAAATGTGATAGGTCAGAATCAATGTTTTTGCCGAGGGCTGACTACGGCCGCGATAGACCACCACATTATATATAAATATATAGATAAACTAAATAACAACGTCAATTTGTGAGGTTGTAGACCAATGCCAGGGGTACCACAAAAAGACGTGTCGCCTTGAGGAATAATCGTTAAAGTGGTCAAAATCGACCAGACGTATTTTCTAATATAAATATTGTAAATTTATGTAAAAGTGAGGTGAATTTTCATAACGTTTTAACGCACTTTTACATCGTATTTAGATTTTGAAGCTTGTTCAAAATTAAATACCTTGTTAATTAGAGGGAAACGGTGTAAGTGACTTATGATTCACTTAGTCCTATACAATTTGTGAAATAATAAAATAATGTGTTGTTAGATACAGCGTTTAAAGTAAGATGTTATGTTGACGCATAAATTGCACCATCGGTTCTAAACAATTAACCCTCCCTTAAAATGTTTATGAAATGCTGCTCTTTTTTTAAAGCAAGAAGGATTTTAAGTCAAAGCGCTTGTCTTGTATTTATCATGTACGACATAGGCCTACTTTATCCTCTTGATTATCTATTGTATTCTTGATAGTCTGTTTTAAAAAAATTTGTTGTATTATATTTTTAAACTAGCCGTCGGTACCCGTTTCACGTGAATTATAGGCCTATAGGTATATTTTAAAATGTTTAACTTGTTTGAGAAAAATAATTTATAAAATAGTTATTGGTCAAAACGCAATGTGCATTACTACACGCTGAACGATATTAGTGACAAAGCAGGGAAATAACTAATTAGCTAAAAATCCGGCACATTTAGCATAACACAGGCACACACTGATTAAGTGACTTAAATGATTTTGATAAAAACTCGACTATTCCACGGTATTCTTCTTGTTTTTAAAGTGATTTATTTTTATTAGTTTTTTATCAATAGATCTATAAATTTAAATGAAATAGTTCATTTCTTCATCGGTAACCATACCATATTAAATGCGCTCGCTGATTAAGAGACTTAAAATAAAGAGACTTAAAAGATTTCTTTGAAAACCCGGCTGTTCAATGGTAGTCATGTTGTTTTTAGTAGATAGTCTAAATCCAGATCTTAGCGTCTACGTCTAGATTTTCCGTAGATCTAGTCTAGATTTAGAATCGAGATCTAGATCTATATCTAGAATCCAAATAGATAAAGTAAAAACTTATAAACGTTTAGGCCGAGAAAATCGTATTGTATACATTTCATAGCGTACGTAGCTCTAAATCATATTTGAATGAAATAGTCCATTTCTTTATTTTATTCTAACTTTGGAAGATGACGTCATTAGTTTCGTGCTCTTTTTTGTGTAAACATTAAGTGACGTCATTGTTAAATGCGCTCTGGTCCCAACTATAAACACTTTTCTGGTTTCACAATTAAAATTGTTTTTCTACATTCGAATACGCCTTTATTTTTTTATTTATCTTCTTTAAATAAAATGTTGGTTATACATTTAAAACATCTACCATATTATTTTCAACAAAGGTCCGTATCAAGTTCTCCAAAATATTTTGCGGACAGAGAGAGAGAGAAGTGCGCACATGGGCTTTTATATATTAGGATGTTTTTCGTATTGTATATTGTATTTGCAAGAACTGAAGAGCTTACCGTGGTAAAAAAGAAAGAAGACCGACGTTTGATCATCTCGGCGTCTTTAGCACAAATTTGCATTTCACTTTCGTCTTTAAAAAAATAATTTTGAACAATATAAGCAATAATCATAAGTACTCATATTTTAATATTTAGAATCAACAAACGATCAAGCCATAAAAAATACCAATAATACAGGGCGAAGAGAGATTGCAGAAAATTATGAGAAAATCAGCTATTGTGACCTATGGCCCCCAAGGGTTAGAGTTGATTGATTGATTAATTAATTGATTGATCGATCGATTGATTAAACAATAATACCTTTGGAAAAATGTATCAATTTTTTCTGCACCACTTCCATGGATGGTCTGCGTTTTGGATCCGTTCTGGTGCAGTCTTCTATCAGTCTGTAATGTTCGGCTCTCAAGTTTGTTTCTTTGCAAAGTCTAATGCTTCCATCACAAATCTGTTCAAATACCATGTTTAGTGTTTCAAATTTCAACAAAATCAGTTTAATTTTAAATTAAATTTAATGCAAGATTTTAGCTGAATGACAATTTGATTCAAATTTTCAATAGAATATTTGTACAAACAAACACATCAAGGTAGATTTAATTCACTTGTCTAAACATCCAGCGTTTCTTTTATGCATATTTTATGCACCGACCCTCCCCAACCCGAAGCTCGTCTATCGCTAACGCTCCCAAACGAAATAGAAATTATATACAAGATACATACTTCAACCAGTGTACACCCTTCCCCCAGAAATATAAACCTGCAACAACGAAAGTTTTACGAGCCCCCCCCCCTTCCCCCGAGAAGAAAAAGGTCTGAAAGAAACTCTGAATACATCCAGCTAGGTTCACTTCACTTCAGCTCCAACGTGGTATGAACTTTTGACTGGAACTCGATTCAATACAGTTTATTACAAAATATATGTTGACAACTTTTAAATCCGTGTTTTGTAAATGAGTAGGCCAACTGTCTCTTAAATGCTGTTACATTTTTTCAATATCAGAGTTATAAAATCCCACTGAATACATTTACCCTATTAGCACATTCCTGATCATCCATTTGGATATGCGAGTACGGCAGAAGTCCATGGGTCAACACTTCATACATCAAAAGTGCCAACATCCACACATCAGACATCTTGGAAACTTTAAACCGTTTCAAGGTCTCTGGTGCTGACCATCTGGTTGGTATTTTGCTGGTGTCATCTGTTTTAAAATATTTATCTCTCTCTTAGTTCACAAAAATAGTCACAATAAAAAAAAGCACAATATAATTGGTAAGTATTACAAACCGTGTATCACCTATGTAAAATATTTAAAAAAAAATTCTAACTTAATTATATTTGCATGATAGATCTAAATATATTATGATTCCGACAAAAGTTTTTCTTCAGTACAAAAAACTAAAGCGAATCTCAGCAAAATTTTAATTATATTTAGAAATAACATACTTTCATAAACGAGAACAGAAAAGACTTCCAGTTTTCTTTGTATTGGCTAAACCTTGTGACGTTAATCCGTGTTGTTACAAAAGAACCTACCAAGCAGTTTTTCACCATCTCCCTGTACAAATGTGGCGATGTAAAAGCCTCCAAGTTTCACACCATCTGCACCAATGAACACACTGGCTGCAGTCAGATTGGCGTGCACGAAATCTTTTGAGTGGCAGAAGGTCAAGGCCTCAGCCACATGGATCAGAATGTCCAGGAGCTCTTTTTGAGTGTAAGGTTGTCCATTTTCCATTTTATTCTTTAAACACTCCTTAAAAAAGAAAAGGCGCTAAAATGTGAAGTAGACAAAAAATTATAGTGACTTTAATAAAAGTTATGACTGTTGAAACTTCTGAAACGACACTTGATAAAAACATTTTTTGAGGTCAAAGAGCTGGCCACAAGCCCTAACTACATTCTCGGAGGGATGTCAGAAATAGCATAGACCACACACATATTCTTGCTTCAGAGGTGCATTCTTCTATTGACGTGTCAGCCGGATCAACTCACATTCGTCACACATCTCAAAATCTAAATACAGTTTTCACCTGCAGATTTTTGTGATGTTCCGTGATGTAGAAGAGTGGAATATTTTCATCTTGACAAGCCAAGATTTTGACAATTTTCTCGTGTTGCAGCTTGCCCAAACAGAACATCTGGTTCATGTGTTGCTGGGTGCTGTTGGACCTCCTGAAGTTGATGCAGTCAGAACTCCTGTGGCACTCCTCGGTCAGTTTGTGGACGTGAATGTCCACTGCTGTTCCACAATATTTCCCTTTGAGTTGGAACCATTCCTCTCTCACCAAACTAGACTCCTATAATTTAGGGAAATTGTATTTGATGAGAGTCTGTCTAACTTTTATTATACATTTTTATGAATTGGACATTTAAAAAAAAAACTATTTTAACACGTTTTTCTTAACTCAGCTTCGCGTTTGTTTGTTGTTAAAATTGACAACGAAAATTAGCCCACTTCTGATTGCTCTAGATATCTGAAATTCGGCATCCAGTCTATTTTCGCCTAACAATTTCAGATGCAATCATAAAAACTAGCAATTAGAGACCTAAATTAGCTTAATTAAATTACGCCCCTTCTCTGTTTAAAGCGTATCGGTAGCTCAAGAGGCCTTTCAGTAAAGTCAGGATGGCCGAGCGGTCTTAGGCGCTGCGTTCAGGTCGCAGTCTACTTCTGTAAGCGTGGGTTCAAATCCCACTTCTGACAATTCTGTATTTTTTTTTCTTAACTCAGCTTCGCGTTTGTTTATGGATTTGTTTGTTGTTAAAATTGACAACGAAAATTAGCCCACTTTTGATTGCTCTAGAGATCTGAAATTCGGCATCCAGGCTATTTTCGCCTAACAATTTCAGATGCAATCATAAATAAACTATATAAAAAACTTTTTAAAAACCACGTTTTTCATGTGTAGCAACGGACTAAAAAGGAGAAAATAAAATACTTAAAAAAAACTTTTAAAAAAAACACGTTTTTCTTGTGGACTAAAAAGTAGAAAATAAATTTTTCTTCCGACCCTAGGGGATTTACCAATGACTGCTCGTAGATTTTGTGCTTCCTCGAGCTGTGCAGGTTCTTGTGATGACTGTTCATACATTTGATGACAAAAAACGTGGTTCGGGCAGATTTATGATTAAAGCGAAAAGCACACAACACACGAATTTTGGAAATTTGATGGTGAACGTACCCACGTTTTTTGTCCCCAAGAACGTAGTTTTGAACACAATGCACGTTGTTATACAAAAGTCCTACCAGCGAAAGCTTTATTAGAGAATCCTTACCACATTTTTCTTGTCCACAACTAGGAGTGGTGTTAGTGACTGCTCTATTTCTTGGACAATGTAAGCAGGTAAACGTTCATTGTACAGCTGTTTTCTCTTGAACATGTCGATGAGGTTTCTGCGTATGACAGGTGTCACCTCAAACATAAGGGACACAAGCACGCGCTCCACCTGTGTACAGGTGCAAGTTTAATGTGAGGGATACAAGAACTACCTCTTTAGAACTACCTGTTTAGTGTGCTCTATTATACAAATCAGAAATCAATAGCTTGATGACTTAACGAGGATTTGTAAAACAGTAATTGCTATATGTTATACGTTATCAATAAAACTGGTATTGAAATCTGCTCTGAAGAGATTTTTGCTTACGTCTGGCGCCATATTTTGTTGCGGAAGGAGATCGATCAAACCAACCACCCCTTCACACAGTTTCGTTATGTCTGTCTCCGGTGTTTCTCCTGTGGGATTTTACCAACTTTAAATTGTTTCAATGAATTTTAACGAACGTTAAGTACATATTTTCAACAAATAATACAATAAAAGACAAATTATTTTAGTTTAAACGTATTTTAACAGAAATCTAAGTACATATTTTCAAATTATATATAATTGAATAAAAGATAAATTAAATTTGTCCAGAAATGAATTAAAAAAACAGATCTTACACGTTTCGTTTTTTACTTTCGGTTTCTTTTTTATATTCTTCACGTATTGATTATTAATTTACAAAAAGAAGAAAAAAAATACTGTTATGCATATATATGGCTACATGTTATATTGACGTTACATACTTAGATTACATAAAAAGTGAGTTAGTCCTCGAAACAACATCTGTACCACCGGGATCGCCATAGGTTTTCTCTTCGTGCTTTTCACACACTCCTCTAGAGAAGAGATCACCTCTAGCTCCATGCTAGTGAAAAGCTATTGTTTAAAGAAAATGTGGTTTAAAACGCTCTCAGTTTCTTTTGCAAAGGTTACTTTATACATATTTTATGTAAGTATTTTATAGTAGTATTTCTAAGGCAAGCTCTACAATGGTAAAAGTACCTGTTTTAAACAAAGAAAAACTGCAACAAAATGATTAGACATTTGTTTGCTGCAAAGAATGCCTTCCTGATCTTTACAATTTGAAATCTGGCGGGATATATCTTGAAGTTTACTGTATCTTAAGTTCTCCAAATTATAGAGACCTTCGTCTATAACGCTTACAAGTTTTTTATTTTTCTGTCTGAAACAGAAAGCTTGCTATTTTAATGTCAAGCATTTTAGACAAACATTATTAGCACATTTACGTTACAAATGACTTCAATAAAAACTGATGTAATTAATTAACAAGGATACAATAGTTATGATTCAATGAATTATGAGACAACAAAAAGTACAAGCATTTTTTTTAAATTCTATCATTAGTTCCTAGACCTCTGGGGTGTTACCTCATCTCAATACCAAAGATTCCATTTTCATTACTGGGTTGAGAATCTTTAGCACAGGAAACTGTCTCTATCTGAAGCATGCAGATAATGTTGAGCAACCTTTGAACCAAACACTCTTCATATTTATCTGTGGCTTGTGTTTGGTTAATCCGATCCCTACAAAAGTTAAAATAAGACTAGACTACCCGTCATCCCTTGGATAACTGTGGGTTTCGGGGGTCATCCATAAAAAACATCACGTCTGTCACTTATCGTCACAAAAAACAGACCCCACATTCAAAAAGATGTTTTTTATCTTTTAAAAACACCGAAAACACCGATTTCGGACTATCCCTTCATATACTGACGTCACAGATGACCTACTCAACTCTACTTCACCTGCCCAGTGTCCCGCCAAGTCCCAGACAACATGTTTTTATCGTTAAAAAAACGATTCCAGCCGAGCATGTCTCTGACGACACTATCCCTTTATATGCTTAGGACATAGAAACAGATGAACTCTACTTCACCTGCCCTGTATCCCGCCAAGTTCAGATAGGCAACTTTATCATTCACATCTAAAAAAAAAATAAAAAAAAAAAAATTGACGTGTTGGTCTAGAACCCGTGCCACCCGCATGAAAGCCGATTACACTAGAAATTTAGCTATTTAACTCGTGACGTCACTGATGGTTTTTTATTATCTATATACTACTAGAACTCAAGTTTGTTTACATGTTTGAATATTTTTTTTTTGTTTTTTTTGTTTGTCTGATCGTGTATTGTAAATAGTTCTACTCATTATGGAGAGCTGTAAAATAGTATGTAGTTAGAGAAAAATTTGTCTTTTCAGACAGACTGTTAATCACAAGTTTATTTAAAGACGTTAATTAATTTATTGATTTATTCATAGGTAGATTAACCACATTTTTTTAAAAAGATTAGAAAAACCACTAGACTCGACGAAACAGTGACGTCACAGTTTTTTGTTTACTTTTTGTACAATAAAATGGCGGCTTCCATCATAGGCCCATTCAAAAGTTTAACGCGCTCTAAATCTAATTTTCTGTCGGCCATAACTTTAACAATACGTCCTTTTGCTGATTTTATTACGTTCCAACACTTATATATCATTTAGTTTTACAATAAATTTCTCTAGCTCTACAATCTGACCAAGAAAGTTATTTGTAGATCTAAAAATATCATGTGACCAAGCAAGTTATTTATAGATCTAGATCTAGAATCTAGGTCAAACAAAAGATTAATTAGATACATACCAAAGATTAATTAAATAAAAATACAATCCATTATAAAATCATAATACATTTTTAGTCCTTAAATACTTGATATAAATCTATGTTATTTATCTATCTAGATCTAGATTCTAGATCTAGAATTTCTAGATCTAGATCTAGAATTTCTAGATCTAGAACTAGATCTAGATCTAGATCTAACTAGAGTTACGCAAATACTAGATTCTAGACTTAAGCAAACGAGTCGTAAAATCTAGATCTAGATAATTCTATCTAGATCTAGATAATTTCAGACCTTCTTTATTTTATATAAAACTTTGTTTGGCTAATTTAAGATAAAATTTAATTTGAAAGTTCTTACTACTAGACTTAGATTTAGATCTATGCGCGTAAATCAAGTTGCATAAGGAGACTCAAAGTATTAAAGTATAGTATAAAAATTCATGCGTGACGTCACGAGTAAATAGCTAAGTTGTTAGTGTATTCGGCTTTCATGCGGGTGGCACATGTTCTAGACCAAACCGTCAATGATTTGTTTTTTCAATTTTTATTTTATTTTTTAGATGTGAATGATAAAGTTGCCTATCTGAACTTGGCGGGATGCAGGGCAGGAAAGGTGAAGTAGAGTTCATCTGTTTCTTTGTCCTAAGCATATGAAGGGATAGTGTGGTCAGAGACATGCTCGGCTGGAATCGTTTTTAAACGATACAAACATCTTGTCTGAGACTTGGCGGCACACAGGGAAGGTGAAGTAAAGTAGGTCACCTGTGACGTCAGTATATGAAGGGATAGTCCGAAATCAGTGTTTTCGGTGTTTTTAAAAGATAAAAAACATATTTTTGAATGTGGGGTCTGTTTTTTTGTGACGATAAGTGACACTGCAGTAGCGTAGCGAGGGGGGGGGGGGGGGGGCGGGGGGCGGGGCGGACATATGTCCCCGGGCGCCGACCTTAGGGGGCGCCAAAATGGGTTGGAAAAATAAATTGAAAGGTTGAGGGGGGTGCAAATCGAAAGTTTGAAGGGGGGGGGGTGTAAATCGAAATCTTGAGGGGGGGGGGGGGGTGCACATCAAACGTTTGAGAGGGGGGGTTGCAAATCGAAATCTTGCGCGGGGGGGGGGGGGTTCAATGTTTGTCACCCTGGCGCCGGGAAGGGTCGCTACGCCTCTGAGTGACAGACGTGATGTTTTTTTGATGGATGACCCCCGAAACCCACAGTTATCCAACGGATGACGGGTAGTCTAGTATACTTTAATACTTTGAGTCTTCTAATGCAACTTTATTTACGCGCAAAGATCTAGATCTAAGTCTAGTAGTAGTGACTTTCAAATTAAATTTTATCTTAAATTAGCCAATTACATAGCTAAACAAACAAAGATTTATATAAAAAATGAAGGTCTGAAATTATCTAGATCTAGATAGAATTATCAATCATTAGACCTATTCTAGCTAGCTAGATCTAGATCTAGATAGATAAATCACAAAGATTTATATTAAGTATTTAAGGACTAAAAATGTATTATGATTATAAAATGGATTGTATTTTTATCTAATTAATCTTTGGTATGTATCTAATTAATCTTTGGTTTGACCTAGATTCTAGATCTAGATCTATAAATAACTTTCTTGGCCACCGGATATTTTTAGATCTATAAATAACTTTCTTGGACAGATTGTAGAGCTAGAGAAATTTATTGTAAAACTAAATGAAAAAGACAGTTGAAAATTTATATAAGTGTTGGAATGTAATAAAAACAGCAAACGGACATATTGTTAAAGTTATGGCCGACAGAAAATTAGCTTTAGAACGCGTTAAACTTTTGAATGGGCCACAAAGTCTATGATGGAAGCTGCCATCTTATTGTACTAAAAAGTAAACAAAAATTGTGACGTCACTATTCAGTCAAGGTAAAGCCATTGTTTGAAAAATTTAAAATTAATGTGGTTAATCTACCAATTAATAAATCAATAAATTAATTAACGTCTTTAAATAAATTTTTGATTAACAGTCTGTCTGAAAACAAAGAATGTTCTCTTCCTACATACTATTTTACAGTTCTGCATATAGCATAGATCCTCTACAGTAGTAAATCAGACAAACAAACAAATAAATAAATATTCAAACATGTAAACAAACTTGAGTTTTAGTAGTATACTAGAATACCCGTCATCCGTTGGATAACTGTGGGTTTCGGGGGTCATCCATCAAAAAACATCACGTCTGTCACTCAGAGGCATAGCGACCCTTCCCGGCGCCAGGGGACAAAGTTTTCGATTTGAACCCCCCCCCTCAAACTTTTGATGTGCACCCCCCCCCCACTCAAACTTTCGATTTGAACCCCCTCAACCTATCAATTTATTTTTCCAAACCATTTTGGCGCCCCAACATATGTCCCCCCCCGCCCCCCCTTCCCCCCTCCACCTCCCCACCCCCCCGCCTCCCCTTCCCCCCCCCCCCGCCTCCCCTCCCCACCCCCCGCCTCCCCTCCCCTACCGTCCCCCCCCCCCCCCTCCTCGGTACGCTACTGCAGTGTCACTTATCGTCACAAAAAACAGACCCCACATTCAAATATATGTTTTTTATCTTTTAAAAACACCGAAAACACCGATTTCGGACTATCCCTTCATAAACTGACGTCACAGGTGACCTACTCAACTCTACTTCACCTACCCAGTGTCCTGCCAAGTCTCAGACAACATGTTTTTATCGTTTAAAAAACAATTCCAGCCGAGCATGTATCTGACCACACTATCCTTTCATATGCTTAGGACAAAGAAACAGATGAACTCTACTTCACCTGCCCTGTATCTTGCCAAGTTCAGATAGGCAACGTTATCATTCACATCTAAAAAAAAAAAAATGAAAAAAAAAAAATTTCATTGACACATTGGTCTAGAACCCGTGCCTCCTGCATGAGAGCTGACTACGCTACCATTTTAGCTATTTACTCATGACGTCACAAGTGAATTTTTATACTATACTATGTGTCTCCTTATGCAACTTGATTTACGCGTATAGATTCTAGATCTAGATCTAAAAATAAGTCTAGTAGTACTAACTTTCAAATTAAATTTTATCTTAAATAAGCCAAACAAAGATTTATATAAAATAATTAAGGCCTGAAATAGATTCTAGATGTAGAATTTACATTGAATCTAGTGACCTACATCTAGGCTAGATCTAGATCTAGCTAGATCTAGGCTAGATTCATAAATTTCCTTCGATAGCTGATCTTTAGATCTAGAGAAATTTATCGTAAAACTAAATGAAAAAGACAGTTGAAAATTGATATAAGTGTTGGAACGTAATAAATACAGCAAAAGGACGTATTGTTTAAGTTATAGCCGGCAGAAAATTAGCTTTGTAACGCGTTAAACTTTTGAATGGGCCACAAAGTCTATGATGGGGTCCGCCATTTTTATTGTACCAAAAATGTAAACACATCAAGGGACGTCACTATCCCCACAAAGTTTATTCAAAGTATTAACATTTTTAAAAAAATACGGTTAATTTAACTATGAATAAATCAATAAATTAATTAACGTCTTTAAATAAATTTGTGATCAACAGTCTGTCTGCATTAAAAAATTATTCTCTACCTGCATACTATTTTACAGCTTTCCAGATAGAGTCGAACATATCACAATAGTCAATCAGCCAAACAAACAAATAAATATTCAAACATGTAAACAAACTTGACTTTTAGTAGTATATAGAGTAAAACTAAATGAAAAAGACAGTTGAAAATTGATATAAGTGTTGGAACGTAATAAATACAGCAAAAGGACGTATTGTTTAAGTTATAGCCGGCAGAAAATTAGCTTTGTAACGCGTTAAACTTTTGAATGGGCCACAAAGTCTATGATGGGGTCCGCCATTTTTATTGTACCAAAAATGTAAACACATCAAGGGACGTCACTATCCCCACAAAGTTTATTCAAAGTATTAACATTTTTAAAAAAATACGGTTAATTTAACTATGAATAAATCAATAAATTAATTAACGTCTTTAAATAAATTTGTGATCAACAGTCTGTCTGCATTAAAAAATTATTCTCTACCTGCATACTATTTTACAGCTTTCCAGATAGAGTCGAACATATCACAATAGTCAATCAGGCAAACAAACAAATAAATATTCAAACATGTAAACAAACTTGACTTTTAGTAGTATACTAGAATACCCGTCATCCGTTGGATAACTGTGGGTTTCGGGGGTCATCCATAAAAAAACATCACGTCTGTCACTCAGAGGCATAGCGACCCTTCCCGGCGCCCGGGGACAAACTTTTCGATTTTAACCCCCCCCCCCAAGATTTCGATTTTCAACCCCCCCCCCCCCCCCTCAAACTTTCGATTTGCACCCCCCTCAACCTTTCAATTTATTTTTCCAAACCATTTTGGCGCCCCAACATATGTCCCCCCCGCCCCCCCCCCCTTCCCCCCTCCACCTCCCCCCGCCTCCCCTCCCCCCCCCCCGCCTCCCCCCTCCCCCCCGCCTCCCCTCCCGCCCCCCCCCCCCTCCTCGCTACGCTACTGCAGTGTCACTTATGGTCACAAAAAACAGACCCCACATTCAAAAATATGTTTTTTATCTTTTAAAAACACCGAAAACACCGATTTCGGACTATCCCTTCATATACTGACGTCACATGTGACCTACTCAACTCTACTTCACCTGCCCAGTGTCCCGCCAAGTCTCAGACAACATGTTTTTATCGTTTAAAAAACGATTCCAGCCGAGCATGTCTCTGACCACACTATCCTTTCATATGCTTAGGACAAAGAAACAGATGAACTCTACTTCACCTGCCCTGTATCCTGCCAAGTTCAGATAGGCAACTTTATCATTCACATCTAAAAAAAAAAATATTGAAAAAAAAATATCATTGACATATTGGTCTAGAACCTGTGCCACCCACATGAGAGCGGGCTACGCTACCAACTTAGCTATTTACTCGTGACGTCACAAATGAATTTTTATACTATACTTTTGAGTCTCCGCGCATAGATCTAGTCGTAGTAACTTTCAAATTAAATTTAATCTTAAATTAGCCAAACAAAGATTTATATAAAATAATTAAGGCCTGAAATAGATTCTAGATGTATTAAGGCCTGAAATAGATTCTAGATGTAGAATTTACATTAAGTCTAGATCTAGAATTTACACTGAGTCTAGTAGTGACCTAGAATCTAGATCTAGGCTAGATCTAGGCTAGATTCATAACTTCCCTTCGACAGCTGATCTTTAGATCTAGATCTAGAGAAATTTATCGTAAAACTAAATGAAAAAGACAGTTGAAAATTGATATAAGTGTTGGAACGTAATAAATACAGCAAACGGACGTATTGTTTAAGTTATAGCCGGCAGAAAATTAGCTTTGTAACGCGTTAAACTTTTGAATGGGCCACAAAGTCTATGATGAGTCCGCCATTTTTATTGAACCAAAAAGTAAACACATCAAGGGACGTCACTATCCCCACAAAGTTTATTCAAAGTATTAACATTTTTAAAAAAATACGGTTAATTTAACTATGAATAAATCAATAAATTAATTAACGTCTTTAAATAAATTTGTGATTAACAGTCTGTCTGCATTAAAAAATTATTCTCTACCTACATACTATTTTACAGCTCTCCAGATAGAGTCAAACATATCACAATAGTCGATCAGGCAAACAAAAAAACAAACAAAAAAACAAATAAATATTCAAACATGTAAACAAACTTGACTTTTAGTAGTATATAGATAGATAGATTAATAGATTTGAAGTAGCATATATATATATATATATATATATATATATATATATATATATAAATATATATATATATATATATATATATATATATATATATATATATATATATATATATATATATATATATATATATATGTATGTATGTATGCATATATACATTTATAAGAGAGAGAGAGAGAGAGAGAGAGAGAGAGAGAGAGAGAGTAATAGTAGGCTAAAAGTAGAATTTAAAATGTATTCATTCGTTTAATTGTTGCATGATTATAACATTATTTAAAAATCTGTTAATTTACAAATATGATGTTTAATCGAACACTAATTAGTTGTAAAATTGAGTATTTAAAAAATAATCTATGCCCTTGAAGAAACAATTATTTTAATTACAAATACAATCAATAAAAATAACCATTTTGAAAATTTCGACAGTCAGTTTAACGATTAAAATACTAGTTGTGCCCAGCAAATAATGGTCTTGTGCTGTAGCAAATGATGATGTTTTCCTTCAAGAAATAAACCGTCATTGTTAGTGGCATGACGTGGATTAGACCTTGTCATCGCTAAAGCTGGACATGTCAGGATTAAAAAATCATTTGTAATATTTTTTTTACATTGTGACGTGCGTAGATTTCTTTTTAATTTTAGTAAAAAAAAATGTAAAAAAGTACGTGGTGTTTGACTTACTGCTATTAGTGCGAATATAAGTGTGCGTATTTAATTATATCTAGAGACTACAAGCAAGCACTATATGTGAAGAAGTCCATATTTATAACATACCATACACAACATAATAATGTACCATAGGAGTTGTATTTTAACATCAGCCCAACATGATAATGTACCATAGGAGTTGTATTTAAACATCCCGTCTCTATTGTAGATGCGTCATTGAGCTCATTAACTAACCACGAGACTTTTTATTAATCTTTAAGAACCAAATCCGTTTTTTTACTGGGAGTCAGCATTGAATTTATATCACTCAATAATTTAAATTACATTTTATCACCACTGCATAAAAGAAAAAAGTACGAAACATAAAAGCATAGCGTCATTTTATTTTTTTCGATGGGCAAAATCAGCTAGTATACTTTAAAATGGCGACGCTGTTCGATGAAAATGTTTGCGCGTGACGTATACCCGTGATTTGCTACGGTGTGCACAGAGAGTGATATTTTTAAGAGGACAGAAAAAGGGTAAACACTAAACAATTTTTTCTAATCACTTGTAAAATAAGCTTGAATTTTAAATGATACATGAAATAAGGGAAGAAACGAACAGAAGGGAGAACCGAACCTCAACCCGGATGACGCCACGAACCACATACTAAACCCAACCACTGGTTCTATATTTAACCTACCCAATTTCTATCCACCCCCACGCAATGTCAACTTTTGCTTGCCACACCACTCACGCCTTCCAGTTGCACTATAACTTGACAACTACCCAAGTTCAGCCCATTCTCTATCCCTTTGACACCACTAAAACGATCTAACCTTGGCCCACTACCTTCCAGAGATTTATAAATCAATTTCCTGCTATACTAATAATCGCAACTAGGATCAACAGGCAATTTTCTTCACACTGGTATGCATTTTTGCTCTATAGGCAGCGACCCTTAGAGTTTGGTGTTCAAGCACTTAATTTTAGCGCGAAACAAGTCTACCGTAGCAAATGGCTAACCCTTGAAGTAAAACACTTTATTTTAGGGATCCGTTGGAATAGTGGAAGGGGAAGGGGGTGGGTATCCCTGCACACGCCACTGATTAGATAACAGTAGAAAGTAGAGTATGTTATATTATAGAAGAATGTAGTCGAATTTAAAAGCGTATAGTGGAAATGTGTAGAATTTAATAGCGCAGGAGATGTTAGTAGAATAGAAGAGAATAGACTGGAAACTAAACTCTACGACACCACACACTGAACCACACCACAGCCCAACCCATCTCACAAACAACACTGCAACACACCACACACTAAAACCCACACCCAGCAACCCCGTATATTTTGATATATGTAAAGCACCTGTATAAGTATGCTATTATTTTAACTACAATGTTTGCACCCAAGGCTATATTTTTAGTATATAGGTGTTAAAGCATTGTAAAATAAACAGACTGCATAATACCTCAACTCTTGAAAAAACTGCGCCAGTAAATGTTGAGTGTGATACTAGAATATTTTTAATAGTAAATGGCATTTTACATTTTGTACAATGGTAAGGAACACATTATATTACTTTTATATTGAAGTGTTTAAAGTATTTGTATTTGACCAAAGTTTATTACATACAAAAAGTTTAATAACTACTTCCAACTGAAATACTTAGATCTACGGGAATGTAAGGTATGGTATGGTTGAAGTTATTTTCGGCAAGCTTTTTAGCGCAATTTTCATACTGACAATTGCGATTATTAATTCGTTATTTCTGGATGGATGGGATGGATGTGTGTCCGCAGCTTTAAGTCGTATCTCCTCCTCAACGAAGCAATATCGAGGACTAGTTCCAAAAGCAAATATGTTAAGCAAGTTCCGAGGATGATTGTGGGCCAAAAAAATTCCCTGAATTCCTTCCTGCATTTCCCGGAAAAGCCAAAAAACTCGAAAAATGCAGTTTTTGGCCCATATCTCGGCAACCAGACCACTTAGCGACTGGAAACATTTACCAATCGATTTCTGCCATAATTTAGAACAATATTGCCGAAGAAAGTTTTCAAAAATATCCTTTTGTTCGGTCACAAAAAATTAATTAAGGAAATTGCGCTTAAATTGTCACTAGACTTTTTATTAGCTTGTTTGGTTCGCAACGTCTGTTTGTTTATTTGTTATGTTTGTAGGTTTGTGGCAAATCTTGTTACTCAATTTTGAACCACCTAAAATGCAGAGATTTCGTTTCAAAACTAAGGGGAGATAAAAAAAAGATACTATCACACGATAGATGACTCTATTAAAAAACAGAAGGGGAGATAATTAGCTAGACGCAATCACCCCAACAGTCTGGCGAGTTGTGGTTCACGAGAAGGCTACTAGGGGCAGATAATATAGTTTTAAAAATGATTTGAAACTAAGGGGAGGTAACAAGATTAAGAACTACCCTTCGCTTGATCAGCTTGTTGTTGTCTGTAAATTGTGGTCACGGACTGATGCTTTCACGGGGCAGCTAATAGTTTTTAAGATATCGCGAGCTACTGATGGCGTTTTAATGCAAATATTGTAGTCGTGTCGACTTCATAAAACAAATTTGCTTACTTTAGTAGGAGCTTTGGCCGCCCATGACATCTTTTACATATTTTAGCGACAAAAGCTTTTTATTAAAGAAAGCCAATTAGTTTTATGTTCGTATTGTCCTTGCATTTTTAAAGCTTGTTACTAAAATACTATAAAGATGTTTATATTTGTTTGATTGAAAGTTGACAATTATAAAAAGTAACATTTTTTAAAATGTTGAGCTATCATATTTTCTTTTAAAGGTTATTTTGTAAATAAATACATTCTTTCGAGTTAGATATTTGTTTTATTATATAGAACAATACATTCTTTTAACCCGCAGTTTTTTAATGATGGACTTACCAACATATCAATGTCGACTTTGTGCTGTGTGATTCGCCCTTTGAAGAGGAGAAGCTCGAGTGTATCAAGAGCTCTACTCTGTATCAGGACATTCCCAGTGTTGGCGGCAATTAGAGCAATACAGTCAGTGGAGCAGTGTTGGCTAAACTCAGGTAACATCTGGGTTTAACATAAAGTAGAGCAATACAGTCAGTAGAACAATACATATCTAATATATAAAGCTCAATTCTGTATGTAAAACATATGTTTGTCGTGGATCTTCGATGGATTTAAGTGTTAGATAATTAAAGTCCTTATGGTCTAAATTTACGAGTTAAAAAATTAATATTGAAAGTTTTGGGAAATAATTTTCATTTATCAAACTGAAAGTAATAATTTTCGGCATGTTCATTAAACACAAGTTTTAAAAAAATATCATCTTTTACAAAAATTCTAATTATGTCTTTATTTAGTCCTATAGCACTTACTTCCCATCGATAAATTAGGAAAACACAATTACTTCCCTTTATAAAACCATTGCATTAGTGGAAAAGAATTTACTTTTTATTACTTTGTTTTGGTGTTGGGAAAAAAAAATTACATAATTAGCGGGGATTGATCAAGTGCAAATGTTGTAGGTATTTTACGGATAAGCTTGGAGTATTATAATTGATCATTAAATTGAAACAGGCGCGTTCTTTTAAGTGAGTGCAAAAGACTATGAATAAGTTGGGGTACTATAGTCGTTTATTAAGCTAAAACAGGCGATTCCGCCCCGGGCTAGACTGTGAGCACTTTGCGTTTATGTTCGCGTTAGTGTTTTCTTTGTGTTTAGGTTGGGTTTGCGTTAGTGGTTGCGGTTTGATTTGGTTCGTTTTTGTTCTTTCTTTTTTCGTTTTTTATTGTCTTTTTTCTTTGGGTTTGTATTTGTGTTTTTGGTTGGTTTTGCGTTTGGATTTGGTTTGTTTTCGTTTGCTTTTTCGTTTTTTTTTGTGTTGTTATTGGTTGGTATTGGTGTTTGTGGTAGGGTTTGTTGTTAGGTTTTTGTTTTCGTTTGCTTTTTTGTTTGTTTTTTCTTTGTGTTTGTATTGGTGTTTGTGGTTGTGGTTGGGTTTGTTGTTAGGTTTTTGTTTTCGTTTGTATTTGTAATTGTGTTAGCGTTATGTTTGCGTTTTGTTGTTTTGGTTTTGGTTGGTTGTGGTTTTGGTGGGCAACGCCGGGTTTATGATGATTGCTAAACACACAGGTGATGGTCCTTAACAGAAAGGTTTTACACAGAAGCCAGAGCAGGGCCTGGCCGGGACGGCTAGTATTAAATAAATTTAACGTAAATTAGAGCTATACAGTCAGTCAGTATTGGTTAAACTCAGGTAAAATTTTTATTGCTAGAAATTTTTTAAAATATTAGCAAAGTGCAGAGAGATAAATGAAATCTTACCGACTGCACAAAAAACATGACATTTACTTTCAGACTTTCTTCATTTGTTTCAAGGTCTTTTATAAGGTCCGCCAGGTCGGACAGTGAAGTAGTGTTTGTAGCTTGAGGAAATGTAGATTTAAAAAAAATATTATTAATACCTTTTAGTATTTAAAAGTTCGTTGATAATTTTGGACAGTAAATAATATATTAAGTATAAAAGACGTACTAAAAAGAAATGTTTGAATGTTAGAGATGGTATTAGCAGAACATTTCAAGGGTACTATTAGATTTCAATGCTGGGTTGTCTGGGTTCTAATTGTAGCCTAGCAAAACGTGTAAACTGGAAACATTTTGCAGGGAAATTTACATTTACATTACCAAGAGCAGCCACCAACAACATATTATTTACTTATGTTATTTAATTATACTCACTGTTAATGATTTTGCTGTTTTGATGTCTAACTGCGGCTAAACTAACCCTCGTTTTATTTTTGTTTACATTGTGGCCCACGAACTTCACCAAACTGCTGTCAGTTTCAAAGCATAAATGTTGGTGTGCTAGGGACAATTCTGCGAAATTCTGTAACACAATTCTTTCTCTCCTCTCAGAACTTTGTCTAAGTAAACTTGAATTCCTTCTGCCATCTGAACTTTTCTGAGAAATCTGTTTGAAAAAACGTTGGCTTTGTGTCTGAGAAATTGGTCTGTCTAGACTTTGGTTATGTTGGCCTTTATTATCTGCCAATTCATCTTTGTTTAGGGCGGGTGGCGAGTTCAACGTTTGGGTTAAGATCTGAGCCCCTCCATCCGTCAACAAACGAAGGGGATTGTTGGGGTTTTGCGTGGGGGAAGGGGTCATCGCTGGGTGGACTCCATGCCCCACTGAAATAGGTGGAGTGGTCATCGCTAGGTGGACCACTTGGCCCACTGAGCTGGCGGCTGAAACAGTATTTTGATCGACATTCCTTGTGTGCGCACTATTGAAGAGAAAATTGTTTAAAAACTCAGCGATGTTGTTGTCATTGGTTGCCGGGCAGATGGTGAGGTTATCGAAAAACTCCTCGAACTCAGGGGCACCACCTTCTGCTGTGTTTCCGTAGTGGACACAGTACAGTTTGTTGGCATCATTTAGCATGTACTGGTCTAAACTGTGACGCTTTAGCTGAAAGATAATCGTCTGTCTGCTTTTATGATGTATATATATATATATATATATATATATATATATATATATATATATATATATATATATATTTATTTATAAGATAAGAACTCAATAAAATACACAATTAGCAATCAGCTCCCTTAACCACTCAAACTTCTGCACACACACACACACAAATCTTTTTTCTAAAGTAATTAAGTAATTGTTAGAATAAGACCTTGATTTACTTTCCGTTCTTAATTTTAAAATCAGCAATTTTTCACTTTCAAAATATTGAACTAACCTTATTATAGAATTTGGGACATTTATGCAGTACGACACATCGGCAGGAATCAAATTGCTGTCTATATGTGTTTGCAAACAGTCCTCCTGTAGTTGGAAGTAGGTAATGAATAGATAGGTTAGCCCGATACCAGAAGCACGACACTAGCTTTTGTGTGTGTATTGTGAATGGTATTTAATGGTGTATTGAATGGGTATGTGTGTTGTGAAATTTGTATTTATAAAAGAAGAGCCGTTTCGGTCAGGCCCTGCACTGGCCTATGTGAAAAACCTGTCTGTAAAGGACCATGACATTTGTGTTTAGTAATCAGCATATACCCGGCATTGTCCACCCTAACCACAACCAACCAAAACACAAAAAACATAACACTAATGCAAACACAAACCCAACCACAAACGCAAACACAAGCACAAAGAAAACACAAACACAAACGCAAACAAAAAAGCAAACAAAAACAAACCAAATCCAAACGCAAACACAAAACCAACCACAAACGCAAACCCAACCCAAACACGAAGAAAACGCAAACATAAACGCAAAGTGCTCTCAGTCTAGATCGGGGTGCCAAATCGTACCATGCTGGGGTGCCGGCGGAACCGACTGTAAATCGCACTATGCTGGGGCGCCGGCGGAACCGCCCGTTTCAGCTTAGTAAACGACTATAGTACGCCAACTCTTTAGCACTCACTTAAACGAACGTAGGCGCCCTAGCGAACACGGGAAGGCCCGAGTCGCCAAATAGCACCCTGTCGGGGCCCTCGAGATCGCCCGGATTTGATTAACTTAAAGATTATAATAAACTTTTTTATCCATAGTCTATCGCACTGTTTAAAACGAAATTATGCCCCATAGCGCTCACAGGATAGTGGTCGTCTGTGTCAGTTCTATATTTAGACAGCACAATAAAAGATGGCATGAATCAACGCTGTTCTGTTTAGTGTTATCTATGGAATATTAGATCGTTGTACGTTGTCCTTTGACCCTGTCCATATCTCACATTCATACCAGTCTGTCCCCGCCCATCTCAACCAGTCTAGTCCTGGATGTTAAAAACCTCTCTCACTAGTCATACAGTTTTTTTTCCACCGCTAAGTGCGCCAAAGCCCAACAAACTCAATATAAATAAAACTTTAATTAGCATCAGAAGTGTGTTGATATCATGAAAATAATTGAACGAATTTCAGCTGAACTAAATTAATTTAAATGATGTGATCGTTTCAGCATGCCTACATTTATCTAAAGTAATGTAACTGTTTCAGCATGCCTACATTTATCTAAAGTAATGTACTGTTTCAGCATGCCTACATTTATCTAAAGTAATGTAACTGTTTCAGCATGCCTACATTTATCTAAAGTAATGTAACTGTTTCAGCATGCCTACATTTATCTAAAGTAATGTAACTGTTTCAGCATGCCTACATTTATCTAAATTAATGTAACTGTTTCAGCATGTCTACATTTATCTAAAGTAATGTAACTGTTTCAGCATGCCTACATTTATCTAAAGTAATGTTACTGTTTCAGCATGCCTACATTTAACTAAAGTAACTGTTTCAGCATGCCTACATTTATCTAAAGTAATGTAACTGTTTCAGCATGCCTACATTTATCTAAAGTAATGTAACTGTTTCAGCATGCCTACATTTATCTAAAGTAATGTAACTGTTTCAGCATGCCTACATTTATCTAAAGTAATGTAACTGTTTCAGCATGCCTACATTTATCTAAAGTAATGTTACTGTTTCAGCATGCCTACATTTAACTAAAGTAAAGTAACTGTTTCAGCATGCCTACATTTATCTAAAGTAATGTAACTGTTTCAGCATGCCTACATTTATCTAAAGTAATGTAACTGTTTCAGCATGCCTACATTTATCTAAAGTAATGTTACTGTTTCAGCATGCCTACATTTAACTAAAGTAAAGTAACTGTTTCAGCATGCCTACATTTATCTAAAGTAATGTAACTGTTTCAGCATGCCTACATTTATCTAAAGTAATGTAACTGTTTCAGCATGCCTACATTTATCTAAATTAATGCAACTGTTTCAGCATGTCTACATTTAACTAAAGTAATGTAACTGTTTCAGCATGTCTACATTTAACTAAAGTAATGTAACTGTTTCAGCATGCCTACATTTATCTAAAGTAATGTAACTGTTTCAGCATGCCTACATTTATCTAAAGTAATGTAACTGTTTCAGCATGTCTACATTTATCTAAATTAATGTAACTGTTTCAGCATGTCTACATTTATCTACAGTAATGTAACTGTTTCAGCATGCCTACATTTATCTAAATTAATGCAACTGTTTCAGCATGCCTACATTTATCTAAATTAATGTAACTGTTTCAGCATGTCTACATTTATCTAAAGTAATGTAACTGTTTCAGCATGCCTACATTTATCTAAATTAATGTAACTGTTTCAGCATGTCTACATTTATCTACAGTAATGTAACTGTTTCAGCATGCCTACATTTATCTAAATTAATGCAACTGTTTCAGCATGCCTACATTTATCTAAATTAATGCAACTGTTTCAGCATGTCTACATTTATCTAAATTAATGCAACTGTTTCAGCATGTCTACATTTATCTACAGTAATGTTACTGTTTGAGCTGACCTAAATTTATTTCAGTCAGGTAACAGTTTCAGCTTACCAATTTGATTAGGTGCGACCACGTGACCCAGTGTTCTAGAAGCTTCCACAAGTCTCCTCCTCCCCTCCACACAGACTTCATTCTCGCAGTCTGGGATAAATATTCCCGCCATTTCGGGCAGAAGATTTTCTGAATGAACAGTGGTATAAATCCTTCATTAAACTTATTTCTTTTTTATTCGTACATAGACGATTTAAATGAAAAGCTTGTAAAAATCGTACAAACTGAGTACATAAAACAGTAGTAGAAAATATCTTATATTTAAACATACTTGCTATTGTGTTTAGTCATTTATCATTGTGTCGACACCTTACATAGTTATTCGCCCTAAGACCTAACCTAGGTTAGAATAAGATCTTTAATGAGCTA